ATGTGCACGCTCGTCCCCGGAAGGATGTAGTCCTTGCTGCACTGACGCTCCAGACGGGGTGCGGGTGGGTACATCCGCAGCGTTTCGTTCAGCACGCGGTCCATGTAGGTCATCTCGGAGACTGCCTCGTAGGTCATCTGGCCGCCGTACCGCTCGAGCACGTCGTCGATTTCGCGATGCGCGGCCCGCTGGCAGTCGGGATTGGTGGCCAGTGAGTACCCAGCGAAGGTCAGGAGTGTAGCTGTCGTGTCATACCCGGCGATGAAGAACAACACCGACTGCGTGACGATACTTTCATTCGAGAGCACGCGGTTGCCGTCCTTGTCCTTGGTCTCCAGCAGAAGCTGGAGGAAGTCCCGACGAGAGCTGCCCTTGGCTTCTCGATGAGCAATGGTCTTATTCACCACTCGTGAGAAGAAGCCGTTTATTACCAAGGTGGGATCCGGAAGTTTGTTAAAAAGCCAGGTTGGCAACGTCAGGAGAGCGACGAAGCGGAAGAATCCATATGTTGTTGGTGGCTTAAACAGGGCAGCCGCATGCGTTGCAAACTCTGTGTTCGGATCGTTAAAAGAGTTGCAGTTCACACCAAAAGCACACGCAGCAATGTTGTCCATGGTAAAACGACCAAATGAATCCTTCATTTGGACTTCGCCCTTCTCTTGCATTTCTTCCAGCATGTACTTGCCTAGGTTGCTGGCGTTATCCAGACAGAGCTGGTGCATCAACCTCATCTTACTTGAAGAAAAAGTCGGCGACATTACCGATCTGGTTTCTCTCCACTTCTTTCCGTTCACGACAGACAGCATTTCCTTAAATGCATCGCTAAGCACGAGGTCTCTTCGGTCCGTAAAGTGCTCGAAATCCTTCACTGTGATAGCGCGGATCAGATCCGGGTCTCCTACGTACAGAACAGGCCGGTGCATCTCCATGTATCCACAAAACTTCTTCCCACCTTGCTTGTGGTAGATCCATTCTTCAAAGTCTACTATATCCGTCATAAGTGGGGGACCAAACTCGTTACCCCAGGGCAGTTTGGCGCGCGGCCCCCTTCACGCCGCGCGACGGCCAGAAGTCGTAGTCCTTGGTGAGATAGTAGTAGACGGCGCCGAGGGTGACGGCCAGGACGCCCAGCGGCACGGGAGTCAGCAGCCAGCCGAGCAGCCCGCCCAGCAGCGATACCACAGCGCTGATCATGGCGTGCGCCTCCCCCCACCCCAACTTCACCGCACATACTGAATGGCTGGGAGGCACCGCACGCCAGGTGCCAGGCGGGTTCCAAAGCGCCAAGATGTGCGGGCGCTTAAGCCTAGAAATAACCAAGCGTTTGCAAACGTGCAGCGCGCGTGGCTTACGGACGCGAGGGGAAAGAGGACAATAGCGAGTGAGGTGTAGACTCAAAGCATCTGAGAGTCGCGCAGAGATACTGAAATTTGCAGGATTTTCGACCAAGACTCGACCAGGGGACAATCTCAAAGTTTTAAAAAGATTCGCCCGGCCTACTGTTTGAACCGTGCGAATTAGTTTCTGAGAGATATGCAAAAAACATTATTTTACGGTGGTCGTTCTGCGCACGACGCCCCGCCGCCCGCCGCTCAGCGTCTCTTGTAGTGGCCAACGCCATTCGGTTTTACGGAGGCTGCAACCCGGGCCATTGCCATCCTGGCTCCCCAAAGATTGCGGGCGTGCCATGGGGGCTTTACAACGCACACAGCGGCTGAAGCTATTTGGTGCCGCCTACCTCTCACCCTGGCAGGAAAGGCGGGCATCGCGGGGAAGCGACCCTGTACCTCTGATCTCCTAGACGCGCAGTTAGTGGTTTTCATAACTGCTTTTAAAACTGGTTTATTTTCCCAGTTGCCCAGGCTAGTGCAATACCAATGAGACACTTTATTCTTTCCGGGAAGGGAGCCCCTTAGTAGAACACTACGGACACATTATTGTTCCCGATCAAGGAAGAAGGGTCTTATGTCCCACTACGGTGCGCCTTCCGGTCGTCATTCTGGTGACACGGGGCGGTGTCCGCTGGCAGATCCGGAGGCCCTTAGAGGGATACATATCACATTGGTTCCCTCCCTGACGCGAGAGACCTTCTGACCCGTGCAGTTGACCCTGGATGGGACACAGATACCCTCAGTGACACAACAACTTTCTGATCGCCGCAAGTGGTTCAATAATTGGCACAAAGACTCCAGTTCGGCTTAAACGGGCCGGTGCTGGAATTGGGTTGGATGGCCTACCGTTCGGTATTGGGGGGCCTGGCCGACATAGAAGCCTTCCATTGCCTTCATGTCAGCACGCATCATGGCTTTTCATGTTTTCTTCATTGCCAGAGGGCCCCCGACCAACGCAAGAGCTCCTCTGTCATTCGGGCTCCCGTCCGCGTCCCTGTTGAGCAAATATTCCCCTGACCGATTCGAGGCTCCTTGTTGAGACAGAATACCCTATCAGGCTCTGTGGCCCCTGAACGATACGGAGCCCTGGTCAATGTAAAACGCGTGCCCGGCCTTGTCCCTGCTTGGGCATTGAGCCACCAAAGCTTAAACCGACAGGAGCCGGCCGTTCGGTGTTGGCGATCTCTGGACGAAATAGAGGCACGCTCTGTCTCAGTGATCCCTATCGGTGCCAGAGATTCTCTTACTGACATTTGAGATCACGGTCTTATGGGTGGGGGGGGGGGGGGGGGCCTTATTGTGACATACAGCTAGCAGCTTGGACCGTTCAGTTTTCCAATCGGGCCGTTGATCTTTGGTTTTCGAGAAGCTGCTCCTACTCGGGACCACTTGCCGCCACAGGACCCCCTGTTAGACACTGTGCCCCCTCGGCCGACACAGAAGCCCCTCATTGTGTTAGGGACCCCCGAACATTGCAAATCGCGGCCCCCAGCCTCGTTCCTGCTTGGGAAATGGGTCTCAAGGGCTCAGACGGGCATGCAACCGACTACTCAGTGTTCGTGGCCTCTGACCCGACTTAGACACCCACACTGTCTCAGGACATTCTCAAGCGGTGCAATAGGATCTCTGATATTTCAGGCCATGACCCTACGGGCCGCGATTCCTTACGTGACGTAAAGGCAGTCCCTCGGGTCCCCATGCCCTCCAACTGGGCCTTTGATCGTCGGTTCCGGTGGGTCGCCCGGGCCCTTCTTCGGGCCTCATTAAACACTTTTCTTGATCGGCTGAGGACCATGCCGCCACCTTGCCAGCTGTGCGTTACTGGTGGTGTCTGACCGACATATAGGCCCTTATCGATTCAAGAGGCCGCTGATCACTGCGCAGGGTCCTCTGGCTGGCAATGGAGTGCCCGGTCCTACCGGTCAGAGCCCCTGAATGCGACCTCCGGCTGGCCTTTCGGACCCTTAATCGTAGGTTCTCTGTGTCACCTGCCTGCATTACTGGTCCCAACTAGATTGGCGAAAGAAACGAAAGTGTAAATTAATGACTGCAAGAATATCAGAAACGGGACAAGGGAGGTGATTACGTTCCAGTGACTTGCAGGGTAAAAATGCGGTTTTCAGTGTCTCCACCTACAGTTCTCGAGTTATTAGCGGCCTCATAACAGAAACAGAGACAATGGCCTTTGCCTTAATTGCTTTAGATGTTACGCTGTACCCAACTATCCCGCTGTCATTGGGTACTGACAAAGTAGGTAGTTCCAGGTCTGGTTTTCGTTAACTTGGAAACACTTTGCTGCCATTATAACGCTCCGTCATAATAGCAGTCAATGATAAAGCCACACCTGTAGTTTCCGCACTCGTTTTACAAATCGCAATTTTTTGCTTTCTTTGATCATTTTTTATTTTTTGGCTCAAACTGGACATTTGGTAATTTTCTTGACCGTCATCTTCCGGCACGACACTGGCATGACCTATTTGGGCTCAGGTCCCGCTTCAGTCACGTGACGAAGTTTTGGTACGGTTCAAGGCACGAAACCTGTGGATTCCAAACATTGCATTTTTCCGCAATCGCTCGGTGGTTCGAAGTCAGGACGTGTTCAGCTTTCGCTGTACAGATTAAGCGCCGATGCATATGCCAGATTCGGAGAGGAGACACATGCATGTTGGTGTGCCGTGCGGGTCATCGAAGTAGGTCATCATGCGCAGAGGAGACGCGTGGCCAACGGCATAAAAGGCGATCATTGCGTGCGCGATATATTTCATATTTGCGTTCATCTAGCAAACAGGCAGAAGCATAAAACTACTTGAAGCCCTGAAAAACTGTGTATGTTTCCGCATCCTCGATGAAAATTCATAACAACCAACTTCACAGGAAAACATTGTAATGAACTGTTTGACAATAGTGTGTGCGAAAAACACGTGATGGCCAGCTCTTGAGCCATTCCTGGAAAAATACGTAAAGCAAAGTCATATTGTTAAAGGAAAAGGTCTTTGATGAACACACGTCACAAGCACAAGCGCTGGCTGCAATGTCCTCACCACTCGCTGTTGCAAGTACTGTGTAATAATCATCTGCACATGACATCAGCGAAAACATAGACTGTCTGATGCCAAAAAGCGCGAGACGATTTCTCAGACCTCCACTATTACAAGAGGTAGCGGCCACGCACGGTCAGCCGTGCAAACCTAATCGTTTTTTTTTTCTCTCTCTCTCTCTCTCTCTCTGCTCTCCTCTCTCTCTCTCTCTCTCTCTCTTCTCTCTCTCTCTCTCTCTCTCTCTCTCTCCTCTCTCTCTCTCTCTCTCTCTCTCTCTCTCTTCTCTCTCTCTCTCTCTCTCTCTCTCTCTCTCTCTCTCTCTCTCTCTCCCTCTCTCTCTCTCTCTCTCTCTCCCTCTCTCCCTCTCCTCTCTCTCTCTCTCTCTCTCTCTCTCTCTCTCTCTCTCTCTCTCTCTCTCTCTCTCTCTCTCTCTCTCTCCTCTCTCTCTCCTCTCTCTCTCTCTCCTCTCTCTCTCTCTCTCTCTCTCTCCTCTCTCTCTCTCTCTCTCTCTCTCTCTCCCTCTCTCTCTCTCTCTCTCTCCCTCTCTCCCTCTCTCTCTCTCTCTCTCTCTCTCTCTCTCTCTCTCTCTCTCTCTCTCTCTCTCTCTCCCTCTCTCTCGCCGGTCCCTCGAGATGAGGAACTGTCGAGAACAACCGCCTCTCCGTCTCCCGCTAGTCCTTGCTGCGGGGCACCACCTTCATGTAGGAGGCCTCTTGCTTGGGCGACAACAGGAACCCGGTCGTATTCATTGGCATAGGTGGTGGCGGAGTGCGTGGTCCTGGCTTCAGGCTGTTCTCACGCAAAACTGCAATGAGTGCCACCTTCGCCTCGAACAGCGCGAACCGCATGGCGATGCAGTTGCGCGGCCCGTTGCCGAACGGCAGGTAAGAGCATGGATGGCGCTTCTCCTTCTCCTCCGGCAGGAAGCGGTCCGGATCAAAGCGCAGCGGATCCGGGTAAATATCCGGGTCACGATGCATGATTACCACCGGCATCTGGACGAGGGTGCCACGCGGGATGTGCACGCTCGTCCCCGGAAGGATGTAGTCCTTGCTGCACTGACGCTCCAGACGGGGTGCGGGTGGGTACATCCGCAGCGTTTCGTTCAGCACGCGGTCCATGTAGGTCATCTCGGAGACTGCCTCGTAGGTCATCTGGCCGCCGTACCGCTCGAGCACGTCGTCGATTTCGCGATGCGCGGCCCGCTGGCAGTCGGGATTGGTGGCCAGTGAGTACCCAGCGAAGGTCAGGAGTGTAGCCGTCGTGTCATACCCGGCGATGAAGAACAACACCGACTGCGCGACGATGCTTTCATTCGAGAGCACGCGGTTGCCGTCCTTGTCCTTGGTCTCCAGCAGAAGCTGGAGGAAGTCCCGACGAGAGCTGCCCTTGGCTTCTCGATGAGCAATGGTCTTATTCACCACTCGTGAGAAGAAGCCGTTTATTACCAAGGTGGGATCCGGAAGTTTGTTAAAAAGCCAGGTTGGCAACGTCAGGAGAGCGACGAAGCGGAAGAATCCATATGTTGTTGGTGGCTTAAACAGGGCAGCCGCATGCGTTGCAAACTCTGTGTTCCGATCTTTAAAAGAGTTGCAGTTCACGCCAAAAGCACATGCAGCAATGTTGTCCATGGTGAAACGACCAAATGAATCCTTCATTTGGACTTCGCCCTTCTCTTGCATTTCTTCCAGCATGTACTTGCCTAGGTTGCTGGCATTATCCAGACAGAGCTGGTGCATCAACCTCATCTTACTTGAAGAAAAAGTCGGCGACATTACCGATCTGGTGTCTCTCCACTTCTTTCCATTTACGACAGACAGCATTTCCTTAAATGCATCGCTAAGCACGAGGTCTCTTCGGTCCGTAAAGTGCTCGAAATCCTTCACTGTGATAGCGCGGATCAGATCCGGGTCTCCTACGTACAGAACAGGCCGGTGCATCTCCATGTATCCACAAAACTTCTTCCCACCTTGCTTGTGGTAGATCCATTCTTCAAAGTCTACAACATCCGTCACAACTGGGGGACCAAACTCGTTACCCCAGGGCAGTTTGGCGCGCGGTCCCTTCACGCCGCGCGACGGCCAGAAGTCGTAGTCCTTGGTGAGGTAGTAGTAGACGGCGCCGAGGGTGACGGCCAGGACGCCCAGCGGTATGGGAGTCAGCAGCCAGCCGAGCAGCCGGCCCAGCAGCGATACCACAGCGCTGAGCATGGCGTGTCGCTCCCCTCACGCCAACTTCACCGCACATACTGAAGGACAGGGACGCACCGCCCGCCAGTTGCCAGGCGGGGTTCAAAGCGCCAAGATGTGCAGACGCCTGAGCCTAGAAATAAGCCAAGCGTTTGCAACGTGCAGCGCGCGTGGCTTACGGACGCGAGGGGAAGAGGACAAGAACGAGCGAGATGCAAACTAATGACATCTGCAAGTCGCGTAGATACTGAAATTTACAGGATTGACGACCAAGTTCGCTAAGACATTGCTTAAGTGGGGCGCGTTCACTGAACGAATCCATATAACACCGATGCAGTCAGAAGAGCAGGGCGGGGAGGGCGTTTGGTCCCTTAATAGAGGCTAGACGTCTACGATATTGGGAACATATTCTGCTTTCACTACATATGAGATGTGTGAATTGTTCAATTATACGCTAGATGAGGGACAGAAAATGGTAATTCTCTTTAGGAAAATGCGAAAAAAGGTTCTAGGAAGCCCATGTCTGACACAAACAGTGCGCAATATGGTGGTGGTGCAGAAGGCGGCATATGGTAGGCAAAAACTGCAGAACACAGAAAGCAGCAAGGCGGTGTGTGGGATTGCAACGAAAAAAATAAAGCAGGAAATCGGGGCAGCCAAATGATAATCAGAAACACGGCTAGTAGACACTTGCTCTGGCGACGTTAATGAACTGTTAAGCTACTACAATTTCAAATCTAAGGGATCCACTGCTGGCCTTCTCGAGCATGCACGCATTCAGAGCCTTGCCAAAATGAAGGGGGGGGGGCTAAAGGGTTGACAAATGGCTCCCCGGTAGTAAAAGGGGCCCCCCAAAAAAATTCCTCGGATGTGGCCAGCTTGTTAATGGGGCATGTTTTTTTCTGCGATATTATATCATATGTGTATATGCATATCTTTACATCATACATTTTTTATTTCTACGGCTGGAAAAATGGCTGCAAAGGAAGCCAGACGCTACCGCGAGATCAATTCTGGCTGAAGTTGATAGTCAATTAACTGAACAAAAAGCATGTGTTAAGCGATTGCATGAAATCACTTTACAATGGCCCAGTAGACTATCTATTTAAGCAATAAAACTCGGAAGTGTGGCAATTTTTTATCTGGGTTGTGCAGAGATATCAAGGGATCCGCGCTTGTACAGTGAAGATCAAAATGGGTGGACAATTTATATTAAAATAGCCAAGCCATGTTTGTCTGGAAATGTCCAGCATTCGGTCAGAATATTGTGATGAAAGTAATGTAGCGGATTTTTTATTGTGAGCGCTCGCATATCTTAGCGAAAGAAACTCGATGCCAGGCGTTGCGGTCCCCATAGGTCGCGTAGTGCTGGCCCCGCAGCTTATACAAAGTCATGGCCAACAGTTAGACGAAGATTAAAGAATTGCCTGTAAAAAGGCAGTTAAGAAAACAAAACAACAAAAAATAAAAAACTGCCATAAAACACTTAACGATATAAAATTGCAAATTTCGAGATATTGCGGGCGTACAATTCACCTGTTTCAAAACTGATGATAACAACGAACTGGCCTTCACAGCACCACTTCGTGGTGCTGGAATCTGGTGGTAGAACCGGAAGCGCAAAGATACAATTTTTCGCGCTGCTATAACTTTAATCTGTCCAGAGGACAACCTCAAAGTTGTAAAAGGATTCGCCCGGCCCTGTCTTTGAACTGTGCGAATTAATTCTGTGAGACATCCAGAAACATTGTTTTATGGTGGTCGTTGCGCGCGTGACGCCCGCCGCCCGCCGCTCGGCGTCTCTTGCAGTAGCCAACGCCGTTCGGTTTCACGGAGGCTGCAACCCGGGCCATTGCTACCCTGGCTCCCCGAGATCGCGGGCGTGCCATGGGGGCTTTACGACGCACTCAGCTGCTGGAGTTGTTTGGTACCGCCTGCCTCTCACCCTGGCAGGAAAGGCGGGCATCGCGGGGAATCCAACCCCGTACCCCTGATTTCCTAGGCGCAGCTAGTGGTTTTCCTAACTGCTTTTAAAACTGTTTTTATTTCCTAGTAGCCCAGTCTTGTGCAACACCACTGAGACACTCTATTTCTTTCCGGGAAAGGGGCCCCTTGATTAGAACACTACGGGTACATCATTGTTCCCGGTCAAGGAATGAAGGGTCATTATGTCCCACCACGGTGTGCCTTGCGGTCGTCATTCTGGTGACACGGGGCGGTATCCCCTGGCAGATCCGGAGGCCCTTAGAGGAATACATATCACACTGGTTCTCTCTCTGACGCGGGAGACCTGACCCGTGCAGTTGACCCTGGATCGACGCGGAAACCCTTATTGACACAACAACTTCCTGATCGCTGCAAGTGGTTCGATAATTGGCACATAGACTCCAGTTCGGCTTAACGGGCCGGTGCTGGAATTGCGTTGGATGGCCTACCGTTCGGTATTGGCGGCCCTGGCTGGCATAGAAGCCTTCCATTGCCTTCATGTCAGCACTCATCATGACTTCCCATGTTTTCTTCATTGCCAGAGGGCCCCCGACCAACGCAAGAGCTCCTCTGTCATTCGGGCTCCAGTCCGCTTCCCTGTTGAGCAAATATTCCCCTGACCGATTCGAGGCCCCTTGTTGAGACAGAATGCCCTGTTGGGCACTGTGGTCCCTGAATGTTCAGTCGTCCGGCGCAATGTTGCTTAAGGTCGCCGAAATGGGCATTAAAAGTAAGACGGTATGGTCACCCTCTTTTTTGGTGGGCCACTGCAAGGCTCTTTTTACCCTCGACAGTCCAAAGCCACTTCCCAGGGGCTACAAGCACGTTCGGCCCGACGCGAGGCGAGTATTACGTTAAACTGGCTTATGCTGTTCGTTGCAACGCAAGGGGACGGGTATTTTGAAGTTACGTCGCGGAAAGCTGGCTCATTTTTCTTAAGCAAGACCATGGCAAGTAAAGCCAACCGCAGCCATAGATATAATGATTTAACCACCATAAAACACGCATTCAATATGCTTGCACGACAAGTGAGCCCCTCAGCGTCACTCCGTCGGACTCCTCGGCTGCAGCGAGTCCTGTGTATGGTGTCCGTGGCTGCGGTGACCTTGGATCAGCTGACTTGTCGACGACCTGTGCGATGGACGGGTGCCGGGCCGTTTCATTGCCGCAATGGGGGGATCAGTCCTGGGATTACCTTCATTTACGCCCGAACATGTGGCCACGGTACACCGTATCCAGTTGTTACCGTAGTAAACAATAATGCTCATGCCAAGACGATATGCTTCTACTGAGCCGTAATCTGGCGCATCAAGTTCAGTAGAGGCGTTTGATGAAAAAAGGCGATCCGGTGGTTGCTGTCGATTGTGGTCGGTTGGGCTGCAGGGGGGGGGGGGGGGGGCAGGGGTTGGGGTCATGTGGAGCCTCTCCCTTCATTTTTGTTTGTACATTCCTGCATGGAGTCTGATGAGACTGATTTTAAAATGTCAATGGGTCTATTGCCCGCCATTACGTGCACGGTGCTGTTTCCTTGCTGTGGTGATTTGCCCGGATCTGTCTGTCCATGATCCGCCTGAACAGGAACAGGAAAGGGCAGATTAAGCGATACCTTAATTCTAGTGGCTACTGGCCTTCCCAACTCCTGGAAGTTTTGACATCAAAAGCATACATCCCCATCTCTGTTATCCAAAAACCACCATGTTTTTGGTTTGTCTAAACCTTGTCAAAACTCAAAAACATGTGATGCTTTTGATAAGTTGGTCATTCACTTAATGGTAATAGCTCCATTCAGTCTATTTTGGCTGAACAAAAAGATGTGGGATGATAACACCAAAGTTGCACTTTCATGTGCTCATAGATTTGTTGAATCTGACTATTTCCATCCAAAAAAGTAGGGCAATATGCTGTGGGTGGTCATGGTCTTGCCAAGCCATGGAGACATGGACAATGCCATGAAGCATGGGAAATTCTGTCAAGAGCCATGACAGGGACCATAGGGAATTTTCTGCTTAAGATATCCTAGAAAGTAGTCAGGTTATGATGCCTGCTATACACAAGTTGATATCATACTCTCTAGTTTGTGTTCTTGGCATTTTGTTGATATCACATGTGATGCTCCATATTTGAGAGAAGAATTGTTAATCTATAGTAAATTTTTTATGTGTATGGGCTGTGCACATTTTTTATGAAAGCATGGAACAAATAATGAACCTGAAATGCATGCTTGGACTCAAGTGCTCCTTATTTTATAGTTATAGTAGTACTGAAACTGGATGTATGATACCATTGTGCTATTCTTTGTTCTGTGGGATCAATATTGTGAACAGGATGATAACTTTGACTGGGTTGCATAAACTTGTCAGTATTGAATGATAACTAACAGGTGCAATACTACCAGCTGACATGTTTCATCTAACCTTTATGTTTCAGCTGACAATTTTGCATCAAGCATGGCATCACTGTCAGAAAAAGCTGAGATTTACCTCAGCAGCCTTGACCTTCCTGAAGAGTTGAAGCAAGTGCCCCAGGCCAATGTTGGGTTTGTGGGGCTGGATCCTAAGAACAATGAAACTCACAAGCATATTTTGGATGCTTTTACAGCAAGTAGAAAAACAGACAGGCTGAGCATCCACTACTCTGTCATTGCTGCTGACAAGGACTTTCCTCCTGCTAAACCAAAGGTATATGATCAGGTTCCTGTTGGTGAAGTTTGGCCCACTGTATGTTGGCTGACACATTAAGCGCAGATGACATATTAACTTTGTGTATTATATTCCACTCTCACCAAGCTCACATCTGTTTTATCATCATTTAGACATAAGGAGTATTTTACCTGAGATTATCTCAGTACTTACTCCCACCTGAAGCGAACTAGTCACTGTGTCTGATATAAAAGACATTTTTCATGACTTAGGTGTGGCGCGTATCAGACTGTCCTCGAGCATGGATAGTTGGCACTAGGCTTGAACCTCCTTATTGTGAATAGTGTGACACCTTTATATGGAGAAACAGTTTACTGAGAAATGTTGTGGCTATAGTTATGACTTTTGAGTTGTCTGCTAGTCACAGTGCATCCAATTCCTTGCCCTCTGAAGAACTTTTGGGCACAAAGCAACACTTGAGAAAAGCTTTTCATTTTCATTGTCTTCAAAATCGGATTGCTAGTGAGCTGCTATAAAAATCAAAACCGCTGTCAGCTTGTCATAGAGTAAAATGAATAAATGAGACAGACATGCAAAACATGTTCAAAATGGGGTTTAAGGACTCCCTACCAGCTCTCACACTCAAATACTTGTGGTTTACAAGTGACATGTTTTCATTTTCATCATCAGTTGTTTAGTAGGTCCTGTTGTACTGCTGTTACATTGCTCCATTGCATCATTTGAAAAGCCTGACTGCTGTGTGACATCTCTGCTGAAGTCCCATTGCATCAACCTTGTCCATCCTGCCCCCTGACAGCACATAGCTGTGAGTCCCTCTGCTGTTTGGGCCATACCCCATCCCCTGCTGTTTGGTCAGGCCACTGGCCACTGTCAGTAGTGTGTAGTTGTGTGTCTGTTATGGGCGATAGAGTTGAGATCATTATATGTGTCATACAATATATGTCAAATATATGTCAAACAAGATTGCAACAATGGCATTCAGAACTACCATGGCTGTCATGTGAACTGTGTAACCTTTGGTTGGCCACTGTTGTATCTGTGTGAACTTAAGAAATAGAGCAGGTATCCACATTGTTCATAAACATGCTGGCGGAAGAATGTAATTCTGACTGAAATGGTCATCTGAAACCAGGGCAGGGTACCAAAGAAATGTTAATTTCCATGGTAGCTGTTGATGAGCTCTGGCAACCACTTTGTGCTAGTCCATGTAGTTTTTGCTCCTGAATTTTACTTACTTGCAAGTTGCAATTTTCATGGTTTGCACATACGTGTTGGTTCGCCACATATGCCTGCACATGCTTGTCGGTTTGCAAATACTTGCACACACTTGCAAGTGGGATGGTTGGCATCCATTGTAGTCACATCCATTACATCTAAGTGTGTTTGGTGTGGCATCATTAATGATGTGTTCTCTTTGCAGAGGACCACTTATGAGTGGTTTCTTCCGAAGGGAATTCTGAAACGTCGGTGGATGAAGAAAGCATTTGTTTGAGCTTCCAGCTGTTGTTATCATTTTCTTTGATTTAGACTGGTCTGATGCTGCGTGGAATGAGAAGAAACTGGAGTGCTCATCACGGGTGAAGGCAATCAGGTGACAGCCCTGTCGCGGGTCCTCGGATTCTGCTGCAGACCCTGCTCAGGCTGCAGTTTGTTGCTGCTTTTTGATAATTAGCTCAGCTATAACCTTGCATAACCCCAGGTACCATTTATATAAAACCACGAATGTTATGACTTAATATTCTCGAAGCTGTGTTATACAAACCAATAAGCTATGTTCTTTAAAGTATAGAAAATCGAGCTGGAGGGATCCAGTTGCACTCGACACAGAACCTGTGTATGTGGTCCTCAAACATCAAGAGATGACATATTTTGTGCTGCACAACATGTGCATGTACTTTGCAATGTGAGAATCGCACTCGACCCACACCAACTTGCGCCGTTGCACCATCCACCACCGCTATGCTACTCTCAAGCATCGTTCGGACCCGGTGGTCCGCCCGGGAGTTAGAATCTCCACCGTCACCGCTAGGGCGGCGCTGACGACGCAGCAGACTCGGCTGGCGGTGGTTCTGGTGCAGCGGGCGGCGTCCGGGGACGACCCGCAGGCGGCGGACCGGGCGGCGGACCTCTGCGCCGTCTGCGACTTGCCGCCCAAGTCGCTCTGGGTACTGCCGGCCACCGACCATCTCAGCCAGTATGCCATGAGGTCAGTGACGCCCAGCGGCTTAGGCTGCGGTAGTGGCGAGTTCGGGTGCTGCATGTGCAAAGTACGATCTGGTTCGTGACTAGCTGATTACATGGAATTGACAACTTCGGTGTTTCGTTGAAATAGGCGTGGATGGGAAGCGGGATGATAGGTGTCCCACTGCTGATCTTGGGCGTCGTACAAAGGCCTTCAAGTGGTGAATAAGCCTTTACAGATGACCACCCCCAGGTAGTGAAGACCCCTTGAGACATTCAAATGTGTGGAAGTATGGCGTGAGCCAAACTAGGCCAACCATTGGCATGTTGTAGAAACGTGCGGAGGGGTGCGAGAGATGGCATAGTAGTCCCTTTTTCATTTATTTTACACCAAGGCAGTCTAGTGAGCAGTATTTTCAAGCGCTTGTAGTGCTGGGGATCGTTTTGTTGCGGTGCTGATTTGTTCCAGTGTGAGAGGCCGTCCCCGTCCTGTCGGTTCCGCTGGCTTACCACCACCCTTCTGGCCCCAGGCTGGAGAGCGCCTTCTACGAGCTGGCGCAGACGTACTACCACCAGCGCGTCAAGGTGATCCGTGCTCACCGTGAACTGCTCAACAAGAGCCATCACCAGGCGCTGTTTGTGCGACACCAGTTCAAGCTGGGCTTCTTCTGCGAGGTCCGACAGGACATGCCGGCGGCGCATAAGTGAGTTACTCTGCCGCGGGCGGCTGTTTCGCCTCGAGGGTCGTCACGGGCGGCGTGAGGGCGCAGGCGGCCCGACATCCGTGTGGGGACGGCAGCGACCCGACTCGATCCGATATTCAGGGCCGCCGCAGTGGCTGAGCGTTGATTGAGCGATGGGAGCTGGGCAGTGAGAGAGCTGAGATTGGATGGCAGAGATTCGGGAGGCAGTAGCCTGGAAGCGAAGCTCAGGAAGTTAAAGTGTCGTAAAGCCGTTGTTGTTGTGATAAGGTGGCTGATGATCAGTTAATGCTATTTGCTAGCTAATGTGAGTTAATGTTTCGATGTCTGAACGCGTTGTGATCCAACCATAGCTTCCCCTGTTAGAATATATGGCGTGTTTGGAATGATGCCAGTGCAATGCGTTAAGATAGCTAAAAGTGAAGCAAAGATGGGATCACAAGATGACTTCTGACGGTCCAGCGTGAACATTGGTCATTTCAGCCAGCATCACTAATGAGCTGGCCTTTAGCCCAAACTAACCTGACCTGACCTGACCTGACCTGACCTGACCTTAGGGAGTACAAACATCCATATTCACGCGTGCTCGGCTGCACCACTACTTTTTCTAACATGACATCAGGCGTGGGACGCATCAGCGGGCGTTTCCGCATCTGCTGGAGTTGTGCCGCTTTTGCCTGGCACGGCCTCCGTGGAGCTCGTCAGCAAGTGCACTCGCACTTGCTCGAGCCGCACCCCTGGCCTGACCTGTCCACGTCAGGTTACACCGACGGCGCGCCTGCCCAGCAGCCCTCCCAAGTTTATCTGGCATGACCTCTCTGAGGTGCACCGGCAGGTGAGCTCACATATGCGTCACAAACTGGCCCCATGACTTGACCCTGCCTGATCTGATCTGACCTGCCATGACCTCGGCAGGGCGTACCAGCAGGCGTATTCGCACCTGCTGGAGCTGCGCACCACCGACCTGACGCTGTGCGAGATCAAGGTGGTGGCGGCCATGCTCAGCTTCAAGGTGTGTCGGCTGGCGTTCCGGCAGAACCTGCCGCGCGACGCCATCGCCCACTTCCGGCGGCACGTTGAGCTGTTCCGGCCGCGCGTCGGCCCGGCCGAGCTGACCGTCGAGCACAGCGGCTGGCTCGGACAGCAGTGAGTGACCGGCGACTGCCACGGCGGGGGGCGGGGGAGGGGAGGGCTGTCAGGTCGCTCCTCCGACAGACGGCGTGTCGGCGGGAGTGCCGGCGCGCCGGGACTTCGCCTCGTTGGTAGGCTGTTGGTGGCTCTCAATGGTAATACTTTGTCGATAAGATGCGGCGGCTTGGACCTTTTTTGTGTTTTGCAAAAGTGTCGGCCTGCCACGCGCGTGGTGATGTACGTGTGCTGCCCTTACGGACTACGCCAGAGAATAGTTCTCTTCGTTTCGTGTGCATCAGTTTTGTGTATGATGGTAACTGGTGGCAGTGCAGCTGGGGCAGTCTGCTGTTCCTGAGTCACTTCACACCTGGAGATGAGCACCGCTCATGACCGAAATGTCGCAGTTTGTTGTGAACCCGTTCGGTTGCTACTCAGCCGATGCTCACCGCCGCTCCGTGAATGCTTAACGCCTAATGATGACACTGTGGAAGCCCCACAAGGCCGGGCCGTACTACGAATGCTGCTACCACGGCCGGCTTCTGGGCCATTGCTGACGGAGTGCCGCCGCCGCTGCCGCCAGGTACCAGTGGTTCGGCGAGGTGTTTGAGCAGGCTATCCAGATGGGGCTGCCACCAGGTCCGGCTTCTGGGCCATTGCTCACGGAGTGCTACCGCCGCTGCCGCCAGGTACCAGTGGTTCGGCGAGGTGTTTGAGCAGGCCATCCAGATGGGGCTGCCGGCCATCCAGACACAGCATCCGGGCATCTACTTCGAGCAGGCGGCGCTGCACGGCCGGCGCCGGCGCGAGGCGGCCACCGCCCTCCAACTGGTGTGTGCCGGTCGCTCCTTATAGCTATCTCGGGCCACGCTGTCCCCGCCGCTCTGTAAAGCTCTGTCTGGCCACTCTGACCCCGCCGCTCTCTGTAAAGCTTTGTCTGGTCGCTCTGACCCCGCTGCTCTCTGTAAAGCTCCGTCTGGTCACTCTGACCCCACCGCTCTCTGTAAAGCTTTGTCTGGCCACTGTCCCCACCGCTCTCTGTAAAGCTCTGTCTGGCCACTCTGACCCCACCGCTCTCTGTAAAGCTCTGTTTGGCCACTCTGATCCCGCCGCTCTCTGTAAAGCTCTGTCTGGCCACTCTGACCCCACCGCTCTCTGTGAAGCTCTGTCTGGTCACTCTTGACCCCGCCGCTCCCTGTAAAGCTCTGTCTGGTCACTCTGACCCCGCCGCTCTCTGTAAAGCTCTGTCTGGCCACTCTGACCCTGTCGCTCTCTGTAAAGCTCTGTCTGGCCACTCTGACCCCACCGCTCTCTGTAAAGCTCTGTCTGGCCACTCTGATCCCGCCTCTCTCTGTAAAGCTCTGTCTGGCCACTCTGACCCCACCGCTCTCTGTAAAGCTCTGTCTGGCCACTCTGACCCTGCTGCTCTCTGTAAAGATCTGTCTGAGCACTCTGATCCCGCCGCTCTCCGTAAAGTTCTGTCTGGCCACTCTGACCTCGCCGCTCTCTGTAAAGCTCTGTCTGGCCACTCTGACCTCGCCGCTCTCTGTAAAGCTCTGTCTGGTCACTCTGACCCCGCCGCTCTGTAAAGCTCTGTCCGGCCACTCTGTCCTCGCCACTCTCTGTAAAGCTCTGTCTGGCCACGCTGTCGCCGCCACTCTCTGTAAAGCTCTGTCCGGCCACTCTGTCCCCACCGCTCTCTGTAAAGCTCTGTCTGGCCACGCTGTCCCCGCCACTCTCTGTAAAACTCTGTCCGGCCACTCTGTCCCCGCCACTCTCTGTAAAGCTCTGTCTGGCCACTCTGTCCCCACCGCTGTTTGTAAAGCTCTGTCTGGCCACTCTGTCCCCACCGCTCTTTGTAAAGCTCTGTCTGGCCACTCTGTCCCCACCATTCTCTGTAAAGATCTGTCTGGCCACTCTGTCCCCGCCGCTCTTTAAAGCTCTGGCCACTCTATCCCCACCGCTCTTTGTAAAGCTCTGTCTGGCCACTCTGTCCCCACCACTCTTTGTAAAGCTCTGTCTGGCCACTCTGTCCCCACTGCTCTCTGTAAAGATCTGTCTGGCCACTCTGTCCCCGCCGCTCTGTAAAGCTCTGTCTGGCCACTCTGTCCCCACCACTCTTTGTAAAGCTCTTTCTGGCCACTCTGTCCCCACCGCTCTTTGTAAAGCTCTGCCTGACCACTCTGTCCCCACCGCTCTTTGTAAAACTCTGTCGGGCCACTCTGTCCCCACCGCTCGAACTTGAAGCCACGTCGTCCCTGGGTGTGACGAGGTTGTAGACACGCTACGATCAAAAGCGTATGATCGTGTAAAGCCTGTACACGTTAAATGGTGACACACGATTAGAACTCCGACAATAATTGACTTGAAATCACTTGAACGTAGGCCGTGTGCGCATACACGGTCCGAGAGGATTTGCTAGTTTTGTACGCTGCCTTAAAAGCATTCAGAAGCGATCGGTCTTGGTCCGGATCTCTGTGTTCGTCGGATTTTCACGCGTGAATCACCCCCTGCCTATAGTCGAACCGCAGGCAACGCCTGACAGTCGAAGCCGCGATAAGCTGCCACAGGTGCTAACGGTTGACAGCTCTCAACAGTAGCAGTAGCGAGCTACCAACAACCGGCAGCTTGCGGACCGCGAGCAGAGACGTCGCATGCACCGTGTCGTGACGCCCGGGCCTGTGGTTCATGACACCATATGACACCATCTGGAGCGTTACCCTGACACGACGGTGGGTGTTGTAGGAGGGCGCCTCGTACCCGGAGCCTGACCCGCTGGCCAGCATCGTCTCCACCGACTTCTACGGCCAGCGGCCGTGGCGTCCGCCCGGCAGGAATGTGGAGCTGATGGACACACAGCGCGAGAAGCTCGGGGTCCTGGTGAGAGCGGGACAGATGGAGTGGTGGTGTGGGTAGGGTGGGGGGCGGATTGGGCAGATATCTTAGATGGAGACTTGTTGAGGGAGGCGGGCAAATCAAGTGCAGCTTGGTGACGTCTTGGTGAGGGAACTAGACAAATGCTATGCCTTTATGCTGGCGTGAGAACGTGGGCTGCAGTTGCAGTCGCGGTGTGGTACGTCTCGGATGCCGTGTGGATGGGCCCCATTAAGAGTGCTGGGGAGAGTCGCGCCGGGGTACGTCTCGGATGCTGTGTGAATGGGCCCCATTAAGAGTGCTGGGGAGGGTCGCGGCGGGGTACGTCTCGGATGCTGTGTGAATGGGCCCCATTAAGAGTGCTGGGGAGAGTCGTGGCGGGGTACGTCACGGATGCTGTAAGGATGGGCCTCATTAAGAGTGCTGAGGAGAGTCGCGGCGGGGTACGTCTCGGATGCTGTAAGGATGGGCCCCATTAAGAGTGCTGGGGAGAGTCGCGGCGGGGTACGTCACGGATGCTGTAAGGATGGGCCTCATTAAGAGTGCTGGGGAGATGAGCCTTAAGAATGCAAGCGCTATTATATATATTCGGTATTCGGTGTTCTATGTAATATAGCGATGCTTACTGCTCTTGGAACAAAGACCGTTCACGATACGGGTGACATGCTCGAGCGAAGGTCGGATGCTGTCCCGGTGCCGCCCCGTCAGCGCTGCTAACCGCCGCGGCCAGGCGATCCAGCTGATGGAGCGTGCGGTGAACCACCACAACCTGGTGATCCCGCTGCTGAGCTGCGCCATCAGCCACTACAAAAAGTACCACTGCCCGCGCATGAAGGAGCGCCTCATGGTGCAGATGGCCGAGGAGTACGCGCTCAGCGGTGACCACGACAAGGCCGTCATGTGAGTGGATGCAAACTGAGCCGGTAATAGCCCGCGAGCCGTGCGACAGGGGCCCAGTTACCCTCGGGGGTGGAAGTGGCAGCTTTTTGTGCTCGGCCAAAAAAAAACACTGGAACTTCATGCCAAGGTTTGCTTTATTTGCTGCTGATAATTGCGTGTCTTCCCGGTGTTCTTGGTTTGTGTGTCTACGCCTGTCAGGTTGTGCTTCTGACTCACTTGGATGTATAGAAGTAGCTGGTACTGCGCCTCACTCGGTCAAAGTTGGTCAAGCTACTAACCACGACGGCGTCATTTTTGTGTTCTGTTGTGAGCTGACGCTGATTTCAAACGCCGATTTCAAACGACCCTAGGGCAGTTAGACGACTGACCGCTCTTTGATGCAATTTCAAGTTATGTATGTTTTGCCTGGGTATGGTGTACGCGTCCTCCCTGTTTGTGGTTCCGATGCGACTGTCCTCATTTCAGTAAGACTCTTGCTTGAATGGCGTATCTTATCGTATAGTCTGAAGCGTTTTGTCGGAAGTACCTTGACTGGCGTGTGGGGCGCGTTGCAGCCTGCTGGGCAAGGTGCTGCTGCTGTACCGGTCGGAGCGCTGGTGGCCGCTGGTGGCGCAGGTGGCCTGGCTGGGGCTGCGCAGCGCCTACCTCAGCTGCCAGGTGGCGCCCTACCTGGCCATGTGCGCGGCGCTGCTGTCGCCGGCCGCCACCGGCGCCCAGGCGGAGCGCGCGCGGCTCGACGCCAATCTGCACCGCCTGCTCCGGGTGAGCCGGCCGCAGCCGACCGCAGCCGACTGTAGCGGCGCCATGGATGGAGCAGGGAACTGGGCCGCGCCGTGGTGACGGCAACGTGGACTGATGACATGGGATGGCGTGTGACTGGAGCGAACCTGAGCCCATGACATGGGGTGACCATGTGACGGGAGCGAACCTGAACCCATGACATGGGGTGAGCATGTGACGGGAGCGAACCTGAACCCATGACGTCGGGTGACCATGTGACGGGAGCGAACCTGAACCCATGACATGGGGTGACCATGTGACGGGAGCGAACCTGAACCCATGACATGGGGTGACCATGTGACGGGAGCGAACCTGAACCCATGACGTGGGGTGACCATGTGACGGGAGCGAACCGGAACCCGTGACGTGGGGTGACCATGTGACTGGAGCGAACCCAGACACATGACGTAGGGTGACCATGTGACGGGAACGGACCCGAACCCGTGAAGTGGGGTGACCATGTGACCGGGTTCTGATCAGACCCCGACCGTGTGACCAAAGCCTGGCCGTTTGACTTGAGCATAACCACATGACCTGAGCCTGACCATGCCATCGGACCCGGGCCTCGTGGCTGCAGTGTGACATGGCACCGGAGTCTGAAGCCATGCCGTGGGATGGCTGCGTGACCGGAGGCTGGGGGCGTGACCAGAGCCGGACGGTGTGACCATGGCTGGTGGGCTGGCTGCAGCGGGAGCCGCCGGAGCCGGAGCCGGGCTGCTCCGTGCAGCCGGGCTGGACGGAGGCGCTCGCTTCTCCCGATCCCGTCACTCTGGAGCTACCCGGACGGCACGCCGTCGTTTCGTGCCAGCCGGCCTTCTCAGCGCCCCGCTTCGAGCAGGGCCGCCCGCTCCAGGTAAGTTAGCTCAGGAGGCCGAGGCTGGCTGCGAGAAAGCCCGTCCGAAAAACTGGACACGGTACATAAAAGTGTTACGCATCTGCGTAGAAAACTGGAGTAATTTATCTAGGCTGCAATGGTAAACAGAACGGCGGCAGTACTTCCTTAATATTAAGCTTTTCTTTCCAAACAAAAGTCTTACTTTCCGGGTACTTTTCTTCTTCTATTCCGTTCTATTTCGTTCCTGGCATTCCTAACACCTCAGTGGACCCATCTGTATCCACTGCTGGACGCGGAGAGCGACCCATCAGTTGTCGTCGGTGGCCGCGGCGCAGGTGGAGCTGCGCCTGCAGAACCTGACGTCGGCGCCGCTGCCGCTGGCGTCGGTGCGCGTCTCCGTGTCGGGCCGCTCGGCACAGGCGGCCGCCGGCGGCCCGCTGGCGGCCGGCGAGCGGCGCACCCTCTCCGTCGAGGTGCCCGCGCGGCTCGAGGAGCTCGGCTCAGTCGTCTGGCTGGAGGCGGTGGCGCTGCAGCTGGAGGGCGGCGCCGGACTGGACGTGCTGCTCTCCTGGAAGATCAGCCTCGGCGACGAGGAGCTCCACCAGAGCATGTTCGGGTGAGAGCGGCCGCCATGGAAGGAGAGGCACGTATTGTGTCCGTTTCATGGTGCATGCCGCCTTCGCGTCATGACCTCAAAGACGTATGTTTCGGAAAGTGGGCACCCATCGCGGAGCTATCGCAATGCAGCCCTTTTGGCCGAATGGTTCTTGATTCCTGTGGTATCCGCGTTCACTTTGGAATGCAGCTTATCACTCCCATCTTCTGTAAGCATCATCTTCCGTAAGCACCTCCTTCCTTTAGCACCAGTATCACTGGTACCCAAGATCTACCGAAAGTGGCGTCGGTGGAAACGCTTCTAACATTTGGTCCCAGCCTGAGCACGCGCGCACTACCGAACCCTGGCGGTGTGATCGGCCCGTTGCCCCAGCCAAGTCAGCTTGTTCGCTACCCGCACGCTCTTTCTCGGTGGACGGCGCAGGCGCTCCCCACTCGCGGCCGCCGCCTGACCAGCCGCCGCGCCGCCGCCCTCAGCCTGCCGGTGGGAGAGCCGCGCTCGGACGTGGGCGGTCTCTGCACCACGGTGGTGCCGCGGCCGGCGCGCCTCGCCCTCGCCGCCGAGCACCAGCCGCCGGTGCTGGTCGGCGAGGTGTACCAGATGACTGCGCGCATGACCTGTGACGACCTGGGCGGCCCGCTCACCGACCTCGTGCTCGAGCTCAGCCTGCTCGGCGCCGACGAGGAGACGGCCAAAAACAGTGAGACGACCAGCAGCGTGGAATGAGACATGTGTGGGTCCCGCGAACAGATGAAGTCGTGGAAGGGTCCGGGTCTTTTTGCGCCATTTCGTAGGTCTTTTCTCTCTTTTATTTTGGCATTTGTTTGATTTCGCGGTCCGGGGTGTGCTATATGTTTTAACTACGCCAGAACTAGAGAACAGCGCGTGCAACATTAGAAATCCTAGGCGTGAAACATCGTGGCTCCGAACTCCGTGTTGGCCTTTAGTTGGAACCTCCTCGTGTCTCTCACTTCATCCGTTCATGGCTCCGTCCCGTGCCTCTGCGGGGTGACGCGGCCCGACCTCATCTGCTGTGACCGCCGCCATTCTGTGACCGCCGCCACCCTGTGACCGCCGCCACTCTGTGGTCGCTGCCACTCTGTGATCGCCGCTGCTCTGTGATTGCCGTCACTTTGTGACCGCTGGCCGGTCCGTGACCGCCGCCGACCTGCCGCAGCGTTCGTGGTGCACGGCGACACGTCCCGGCCGCTGACCGAGCCGCTGCAACTGGCGTGCGGCGCCGTCCAGCCGCGCGCCGTCGCCCAGCAGCTGCTGGGCCTGCAGTGCCTGACGCCGGCCAGCCGGCAGCTGCAGCTGGCGGCGCGCTACTCGGAGCCGACCGAGGCCGGCACATGTCAAGGACGGGCTGTGCATGCCGTTCACGCTCGAGGCCGTGCACCCGTTCCAGGCGAGTGGCCCTTGTCGGGGTGACGGGATGTGACTGGTGGGGTTGTGTGCTGGCTGTGATATAGTGGCACGTTGGGTGGAGCGGTCGCGGGTAGTGCGCGTTTGGGGCGTTGGTACCAGCCGTGTGGCTGTGTGGAGATTGGAAGTGAAGTTCTTAAACTTGAGTTGAACTGAGAACGGAACCAGATTGTGTCACGTGGTTAGCTAAGAGCAACCTTCACTGTATGTCCGCGGAACGTTTCCGCTTGTTTACCGTGAAGGACCTCATAGTTGTCCAAAAGTGTAGTGAATGATGGTGTGTTGCGCTGTCGTTACCGTGACATGGGATGATGACCAGGTCTGTGTGATGTTTGCCTTGACTTGGCTGGTGGTCGCCGTGACCGGTGTGTTGGGTGGTGAGTTCGCGGCCGGGACGTGTCGTCAGACATCCGCTGTGTTGGCTGGTGAGTTCACGGCCGGGACTTGTCAGATGTCTGGTGTGTTGGCTGGTGAGTTCACGGCCAGGACGTGTCGTCAGATATCCGCTGTGTTAGCTGGTGAGTTCACGGCCGGGGCGTGTCGTCAGATGTCCGCTGTTAGCTGGTGAGTTCACGGCCAGGACGTGTCGTCAGATATCCGCTGTGTTAGCTGGTGAGTTCACGGCCAGGACGTGTCGTCAGATATCCGCTGTGTTAGCTGGTGAGTTCACGGCCAGGACGTGTCGTCAGATATCCGCTGTGTTGGCTGGTGAGTTCACGGCCGGGACTTGTCAGATGTCTGGTGTGTTGGCTGGTGAGTTCACGGCCGGGACGTGTCGTCAGATATCCGGTGTGTTAGCTGGTGAGTTCACGGCCGGGGCGTGTCGTCAGATATCCGCTGTGTTAGCTGGTGAGTTCACGGCCAGGACGTGTCATCAGATATCCGCTGTGTTAGCTAGGTGAGTTCACGGCCGGGGCGTGTCGTCAGATGTCCGGTGTGTTGGCTGGTGAGTTCACGGCCGGGGCGTGTCGTCAGATATCCGCTGTGTTAGCTGGTGAGTTCACGGCCGGGGCGTGTCGTCAGATGTCCGGTGTGTTGGCTCGTGGGTTCACGGCCGGGGCGTGTCGTCAGATATCCGCTGTGTTAGCTGGTGAGTTCACGGCCGGGCGTGTCGTCAGATGTCCGGTGTGGGGAGTTCACGGCAGGGACGTGTCGTCAGATGTCCGGTGTGTTAGCTGGGAGTTCACGGCCGGGATGCGTCGTCAGATGTCCGGCGTGGTGAGTCCGCGGCCGGGACGTGTCTTCAGACGTCCGGTTATTGGCTCGTGGATTCACGGCCGGGACGTGTCGTCAGATGTCGGTGAAGGCGGCTGCGCTGACGCTGGAGCCGATCGAGGCGGCGGGAGCCGGCCAAACGGTGCTGCTCATCCCCCAGATCACCAACACGGGCCCGCACACGGTCCGACTGCGCTCCACACAGCTGATCATGGTCAGTCTTGCCGCCCTCGCCGCTCACCACAGCCGCCCGCTCCCGCTCACACCAGCCACCCGCTTCTGCTCCCCGCTCACCACAGCCGCCCGCTCCCGCTCACCATAACGGCCCGCTCCTGCTCCCGCTCACCACAGCCGCCCGCCCCCGCTCACCACAGCGGCCTGCTCCCGCTCACCACAGCCGCCCGCCCCCGCTCACCACAGCCGCCCGCCCCCGCTTACCACAGCCGCCCGCTCCCGCTCACCACAACGGCCCGCTCCCGCTCACCACAGCCGCCCCGCCCCCGCTCACCACAGCCGCCCGCCCCCGCTCACCACAGCCGCCCGCCCCCGCTCACCACAGCGGCCTGCTCCCGCTCACCATAGCCGCCTGCCCCCGCTCACCACAGCCGCCCGCTCCCGCTCACCACAACGGCCCGCTCCCGCTCACCACAGCCGCCCGCTCCCGCTCACCACAACGGCCCGCTCCTGCTCCCGTTCACCACAGCCGCCCTCCCCCGCTCACCACAGCCGCCTGCTCCCGCTCACCACAGCCGCCCGCTCCTGCTCCCGCTCACCGCAGCCACCCGCTCTCGGCTTCGTCTCTCTGCCCAGATATGGCCCCCGCACAAAGTTGCCATAGAGGCACCATCTCAAGCATAACAACACTGACAGCAGCCGCGTAGCACCACGCCAAGTGTTGGCGGTCGACGCGTCTAATACCAGCCCGCTGTGCCGGCGGTGTTGCCGGCTGTGCTGTCTGACAGGCAGCCCCGTGCCGCCTCTGACGCAGCTGGCTACCCCTCAGGACGATACCATGTTCGACGTGGCGGCTGAGTCGGACGAGGAGAGCGGCCAGGAGGATGAGGAGGAGGGCGGCGACGGCGGCTCGCTGCGGGAGCTGGTGCTGCAGCCGATGGAGTCTGCTTCCGAGTGTGTGGTGGTCACCGCCCGGCAGCTGACCGGCCACGCCCAGCCCGGCACCTACACCGTCACCTGGAACAGGTCAGCGTGCTGACAAATGACAACATGGCTCCTATGATCTGGCTATGCCCTGCTGCAGCCGCTCCCGGTGATCGATATGCTTTGCGTCCATGATCCTTGCGCTCTATGCGTTGTATCCTATGGGCGCAGCGTACCACATTGAAGCTGCGCCAAGCAGGGGCGCACGGACGCACTAATCTCCAGGGGCGTGTCCCCTCCCCCTCCCTCTTATAAAATTGATTACAGGTATTGATATGCACGTGAACACGTGTTGGCAATTCAATTAAAAATCGAGGTAGAAAAGCGGTGCTAACCAAATGGTACATATGTAACGTTGTTTTACGTCATGAAAGTAATTTCGCGAGACGTGCGCGCTAGCCTGAGTTTTAAGTGAATGTTGTGTAGGTCCCCCCCCCCCTGCATACACACATACAACGTGAATGCCTGAGCCTCTGGAGCTGAGTGTGATCTCGCTGCAGCATGCCGTGTGCCCGCCGCCGACCGGCTGTGCCGTGACCGTGGCCAGCGCGTGACGTTGCCCCTCCACCTCTCCGCCCCTCAGGCTGGATTGGGACGGTCGACCAGTGAGCACGGTGGCGCCGGCGCCGGCGCTGCAGGTGCGGCCGCGGCCTCTACTCGTCTCGGTCAGCCTGCCGGCGCACGGCGTCGTGCGCACCCCACTGCCCGTCCGCTACACCGTCACCAACCACTCGCCGCAGGTGTTCAGCCTGCTGCTGCACATGGAAGCCAGCGAGGCGTTCATGTTCTCCGGCAATAAGCGGGTACGACCACGGCCGGAAGCGGGTGGTGAAGGGGGGGGGGGGGGGGGGGCTTCGGGGCGGATGTGTGACACTGTGTGCTGGTGATTGTAGAAAGATCTTGAGACGTTTTATTACCTATTTGGTATGAAGTTGTGCCGTTTTTTTTTTGTCAATTTAGAGTTGTCATACGCGTCGCGCGCGTTCTTTTCATGTTGATGTGGACTTGAATGTAGCTTACTGATCCCACACTGTTTGCTGCAGACGTTTTCAGAAAAGCGGTGCCAACCAAATCGGCATGTGCGTTCGTGCGTAATCTTGCACGTAATCATTTTAGCATCGGCATGTGCGTTCGTGCGTAATCTTGAGATGTCTTTGTGTCTGCCCATGATTGGGACTGTTTTCACAGGCTGTTCCTTAACCAATGACCGCGTCTCACCAGTGCTGCGCAGCCGGTGTTGCCTTTGACGTTAGCTACAGTAGCCGTTGGATGTGGTCCGTGGCAGGACTGCCCGCCTACCTGGTCGGAGATGCTCTGCACCGCTGTCCGTGGTGTTCGTTGCAGTACCAGTTCCGTGTGGTGCCGGGCGGCAGTCGGCAGCTGGTGTACAACCTGTACCCGCTGCTGTCGGGCCGAGTCACCCTGCCGCGGCCCCGGCTCACCCTCTACAGAGACGGCGCGCCCGTCGAGGCCACCGAGCTTATAGACGGCGCCCTGCGCCACCTGCCCACGCACGTCTACGTCCTGGTGAGTGGCGCCGCCTTCCTCGGCCCGGTGTGGTGGTGTACCTCTGGGCTTGTTAAGCGGCGTGCTACTGACGTAGTCATGCCGTGATAAGCGGAGCTTTGGTTAAGTTAGTTTTTCTGAGCCTGTTCACTGGTGATGATCGTGTCCGTGTGAAGTGCACCGCTCGGCGTTTACACCTGTCGGCAGTGAGCGTCCCCATTTCGGTCGGATCCGAGGTGTGGAGCAACTTTGAACAGTTCCGCCGGGCGCGTGTTCCGAGCATCTTGCTCGATCCCGTGCATGCTCTAGCCTGCCCGTGTGCGCTGTTGCAGCCGCAGGAGAAGGGAGGCCCCCATGGCCCGGCTGGTGGAGCGGGGGACCAGGTACGCACCGTGTGAGCTCCGCCGAGCCCGGCGCGTCAGGAGCGAGGCTCACGGCCCGGCCGAGGGAGCAGGGAACCAGGTGCGCGCCGTGTGAGCTCCGCCGAGCCCGGCGCGTCAGGAGCGAGGCTCACGGCCCGGCCGAGGGAGCAGGGAACCAGGTGCGCACCGTGTGAGCTCCGCCGAGCCCGGCGCGTCAGGAGCGAGGCTCGCGGCCCGGCTGGTGGAGCGGGGGACCAGGTACGCACCGTGTGAGCTCCGCCGAGCCCGGAGCGTCAGGAGCGAGGCTCTCACGGCCCGGCCGAGGGAGCAGGGGACCAGGTGCGCGCCGTGTGAGCTCTGCCGAGCCCGGAGCGTCAGAAGAGAGCCCCGCTGGTGCCAGTGCCGGGCGAGCAGCTCAGTGTTGTGACATCAGGCCGACGTGCCGGGTATGGCGCGGGGCATTCCAGTGTCGAGCGAGGGTCGAAGCAAGAGTGCGTAGAGCTGTGAGATGAGCGGGGGCTGGTCGAGCTGTTTTAGTCAAGGTTTGACTGTATCGCGATCCATCCAGTTTGGCTTCGGTGGCACTGGGGCATAGGGTGCGCTGTACCATGCAATGCACTGTTATCTTTCAACTCTAATCGGTTGTTCATACTTCGTCTTTAGGAGTAACTGGGATGCTATGCCAAATTGATTTCATACTAGTGTGTGAAAAATATTGGATATGTATTCAAGCGAACCCTGATCTGATGGCCTGGTGATTTGAGCACTGAGACGCGCTGATGTGCGCTGTATTATTGCGAATGTATGCATTACAGACACGACGATTATCACGCATTTTGCTGGTGCATCCTGTCGACGGGTATGAGGCCTATCCCACGCCAAATGACGTGACGAAACGACTCGTAACTTTGAGGAAAGGGGTTTTGGCGGCCGGTCCAGCTGGATATAAATCCCCGGTTGCTCATCTGCCGTACCGGACTGGGGTCACCAGTTCAGTCCGAGAACAGTGATTCGTCTGACTACGGTCGGCGGCGAGTGCCGTTCTCTTTGCGTCCGTTCCACCAGTGGCAGCCTGTTCTTCCGTTGCGAAGCGCCCACGAGTCTCTGCTCTCCCACCCCGGATATCTTCCCTGGGACACCACCCGTCGAATCCGGCCCGCTCCTCCTCCAGCGCTCCATTCCGTCTCTCCCGCCCCGCCTACCCAGCCGGCGAGGTGTGTCGGTGACCCAGAGCGGACGTCTCCCGGGACGTCAGCTCCTGCGGGCTCTCTCCGCCCCGCGGCACCGCTCTGCCGCTGGCCGCCGGGCGGGCGGCCGCGGCGAGGTGTGTCGGTGGCCCAGAGCGGACGTCTCCCGGGACCCCAGCTCCTGCGGGCTCTCTCCGCCCCGCGGCACCGCTCTGCCGCTGGCCGCCGGACGGGCGGCCGCGGCGAGGTGTGTCGGTGACCCAGAGCGGACGTCTCCCGGGACGCCAGCTCTTGCGGGCTCCCTCCGCCCCGCGGCACCGCTCTGCCGCTGGCCGCCGGGCGGGCGGCCGCGGCGAGGTGCGTCGGTGACCCAGAGCGGACGTCTCCCGGGACGCCAGCTCCTGCGGGCTCCCTCCGCCCCGCGGCACCGCTCTGCCGCTGGCCGCCGGGCGGGCGGCCGCGGCGAGGTGGTGTTGCTGCCCCGGCTCACCACGTGGTATGCGGACGCGTCGGCACGGCGCCGGCCGGTTAAAGGACGGAGCAGCGAGACCGTGCTCGCCGGGTCGTGCTGAGGGCGTCGTAACCAGCGGGGTGCGAACCCGGACGTGAGCTGCTGCAAGGTCGGACGGCTGCGACAGTCCCGGACGCCGGCTCCGACGCACTGCCTGTTTGCGTGCAGAAGTTACTGCAGAAAGTGGCTTGTATACTGAAACTTTCGATGAAAAAAACGGTGCGGGTATTATGCGGGTCCTGGGTAAATGGTCAGCAGGAGTTCCATGCTAACCAATGGTCTCGAGGATTAGGTGACTATCCGCCTCAGCCAGGGCAAGTGTATTAGCACATCACGCGATGCTGCCTGTACGAGATCACGTGCGGGTGAGCTCAAAACCTTGCTCATTAGTTTTGGTTGGTTGTAAGGATGAGTGCAAGGTCCTATCAACCAGCCTAGTTGAATGTTTCACGTTACCTGCTTGCGGCAATGCAAAGACCGTCTACAACTTACGTAACTCGCTGAACACCAAGCGATGAATCGACGCCGATTGTCTAAAAGCTGCTCTGGAATGCGGCCTCACCACTCTTACGCTAGCTCTGTTAGGCTCTTTGTTCACCGAAACAATGACGGGCGAAGTACAGACGGAACGGATAATTAAGAGGAAGAGTGCAGGTGGTGTGAAGTGGGTAGGCCGAGACGGGACGCGACAATATGACCAGCCGCCGCAATGACGAGGTTCATATGTTTCCTCGCCGCATCTCGGCCCCGCGCGCCGCCAGCCGTGCCCAGTGCCGAGGGAGGGGCCGCCGCGTCATTATAAGACCGCCGGCGCCGGCCGGCTGCCAGATCTGGTCGGGGAGCCGCGCTGGAACGGTCGCTGGTCGACCTCCGTGAGCTTCCCCGTCCCGTCCGCCGGTCGGACGTCCTGCCGTATTCCACACTGCTGACTGTCCCCCGTCTCTGGGTGTGCTCCTGCATCCGAGAGAATTGTTTTAGTCCGGAAATTTCCGGAGTTTTAGTGCGCTTCGGCACATATACGAAGACTAGCGGCTAGCCCCGCCCCCACCCCCCTCGAGGATCTCGGAAGGCTCTCCGGTACGATCTCAGCCGGCTGCGGCGATCTCGGACCGTTTGCGAAGGATCTCTATAGTTTGTCCCTCCCGCTCCGTGCTGGCACGAGATGGCCGGCGGGCTGGTTCCGATGTTTGGACGCCTGCTGGCGGCCGGATCGCCCTCGGCAATTAAGACCATCAGAGCTGGACTCATGCTGGCAAACTCGCCCTACTGCATCACGCTGCCCGGTGAGTTCTTGTTCTCCGCATCTCTTTGAAGCGACCGGTCCCGGAAGATAACCGAGGTTGTCGCGTGGGATGAAGCTGCCGTTTCGTGCTGTGCTGACCCTTCTGATTATCTCCGTTAGCGCCATGCATATAATCATAAGATATTAGCGCCGAGGTGTGCATCACTAGGTTTCCGTACACCCACGCTTTACCGTCATTTTATGATTATTTCAGCGACCAATTGTCGAACCTAGCACGCGTTATCGTACTGCAATCAATGTGGCGCCGGTGGCGCTGACCCCTGACTTCGCTTGGTGATGACCTCTGACCTCGCCGTTCCGCGTGCGACGGTCCACCAGACCGCAAGCAGCTGAGCGCGCTGATCCCGAGGAGTGAGACGGACCCGTTCGGTGCAGAAGGTCCGCGAGCGGTGGCCCCACGCACCCCACAGAAGGCCCTGTCCAAGGAGGTGAGGCTCTCGAGGCCCAGCGTACTGCGCTGGTGGTCAAAGCCAGTCCGGCTACGCTGTCTAGGAATGGGTACATTTTTCCAGATTCGTATCTTTGGTGGCATTTCTGTTGCACCTATTTGATTTATTGTAGCTGCGTGAAGTCATGGACATTGCAGTGCGTTTTCATGACTGATTGCGACGGGGTCTGGTATTTCTCGCGGTAAGCTTTCATGAAATGGTGAATAGCTATAATACGCGTATAGGATGTCGTGTGCAATAATTACGCTTGAGCCTAGTGGGTTTACCGATGAATTCGCGTCCTTCCGCAGGAGTTGGACCTGAAAGAGCTGGCCGAGACAAACTGTGAGAAGGCGCTGGAGATCCTGCAGGCAGATGGCTGGCATCAGGTGGACTCAGAGGAAGAGGACGGACTCTTTGTCAGGGACAGTGGAGGACGCACTATCTGGAAGTTCAGGGTGAGATGCTGTCTATAGCTTTAACCTCAATTGGTGGGAGATGATTTGCTAAGGGAGTTGCAGCGGATCTCGTAACTCGGAAAATCCTGCCTTAACATTAATAAGGACGTTGGAGAGGGTTGGCAAGCGTTCTGTAATGCTAGCTCAATGGTTATTTTAATAACAGAACAGTTCTTAAATGTGGTTTACAGCTCCGGAGAGCGCTCGGTGTTCTGCGTCGCTGTGTTTTTAGCCCCGTCATATGAGGAGTACATAGCTCCGCTAAGCATTGTTCGCTGCGCCATTATTATGCGCCTGGGTGATAGGAACGATCATTCGACCTCTTTCAGTTATGTGTCAATCATTCTACTATTGTAAGAAAAATTTCAAATGCGTTTGTACCATTTTCCAGACTGTCATCAAATGCTGCCCTGAAAAGTTCGCACAAGAGCTGCTCCACAAATGTGAGAACTGCCCCTCGTGGAACCAGACCATCCAGCAGTGTCATCAGACCCACCGCGTAAGAACCTGTCACGCTGGCAACAGTGAACACGGCCTCGGAGCTCCTCTGGTGTCGGACGGGGACGACATGGCCGCACGGGCGGTCTCGCGTACCACTTGCGTGCTGTTGCATGTCCAGATAGTGCGCCTGTTGCCGACTGCAGCGCTGCAGCGGTAACGAAGTACGCAATATTGATCAGAAGCAGGCGCTGATCGCATCGTCGTGTGTCGTGTGTCGCATCGCTGGTCGCTGATCCGATTGCCTGGTCTCTGAGTCAGTCAGCTATTGTTGGCTGTGCTGACTATCACCCCACATCGCCCGCGTCGTACACACCGCGCCGGGTCCTGTGACCGCCGCCTCGGTGGCCGGGGGTCACTGCGTCGGTTGCTGCTGTCTGCTACGCTAGTTGTCGCGTGACGGTTGTATGGTGACTGCTGTCCCAGCCGTCCAATGTCGGCCGTGCCGGCCGTCCCGTGTCGGCTGTGTCGGCCGCCCACTGTCAGCTGTGCCGGTCGTGACCGACCTCCGCGCCACCCGCGCACACGCCACAGATTGCCGACGGTGTGGAGATCATACACCAGGTGACCGGCCTCCTGTTTGGAGGGGTCGTCTCGAAGCGCGAGTTCGTCAACTTGCGCCGCCTCGGCCGCCGCGGCGACATGCACTACAGCGCCGTCGCCTCGATCGAACACCGGGACCTGCCGCTGCGCAGCAGCTTCGTCAGGTCAGTGGCCTGTCCGCCGCGTCAGGTCGGCGACCTTCGCAAGGTCAAGGCAGCCCGCCAGTGTGGTGATATGCTGCGCTGCCGAGTGAAACGCGTGCGGAATACCCTTCCCCTTTCGAAGACCCTCCCCCTTTTGAAGACCCTTCCCTTTCCTTTGACCCTTCCTCGGTCGAAGCCATTTTGTCTTAGCTAGCATGAAAAGCATCCGCGCGCTATGCAACAGGGCATGCCCACGTGGAAGGTGATACGCTGCATGCTTCCCATCCGCTCTCCTCCCGTGAGATGTTGCAGCGCTGGCAACTACGTTATTCGCTGGGATCCGATGCGTGTCCTATAAACGGATGGTCTCGGCTTCTAACGGATGATGTTCGTTGTGATGCTGACAGAGATGATCCGTTGTCCTCACATTTGCTGACCAACGCAGCCGTCATTCTCACGGCCCAATGCTGCTGATCTTTCCCCGGCGCCCGGCACGACCTTCCTGCGTCTGAAGTTCATTTCCGGCATCAGGTGCCGGCTCTAGGTCGGCCAGTGCCCATGGCAACTGGCGCTGCCCTCCCCTTCCTTGCCCCCAGAACCCCTTGTTGGCATGCATGGTGCCTGCAGCGGTGGTAGCACGTGTTAAGAACAACGGGTCGTAAAAGGCTGGTCAGTGCTTTCACTGTTGTCCCGGTGCCTCCAGCTTACTGGGCCCAGCGACTCAATGACGTCATGACCGCTGTAAGACGACACAAGGTCGCGAACACGTGACATTCCGATCGCACGGAATTCGATCGTACGAATGCCACATTTGGGCACGCGCGTTGCTGTGTACGTGATATCTTGGGAGGCATGCCCACCTGTATTCTCCGTCTTCACTCGGACTAGCGCTTCTTGGGACACGGCAACAATTATGAGACGCCATGGAGGTAGTCCACGGGAGGACCAAGGGGGCCATGAGATCCCGCGCCCTGGGCCGTGAACTTTACAATATAGACTGTGCGATTGTGTAGGCATTGTGTCAGATCGGCAGGTTTTGGGAAACATTGGCATTTTGTCTCTGTGCATGCGAGGCGGAAGCCGACGTCATGGCAGAACGGCGCAGCACGGAATAGATCTTAACGATTAACGCGTGCCCACTTCGCACCCCTGTGACTCTCGCTGACCGCATTCGAATCCGGCAGGGCTTTGAACTTCCCGACAGTGCTCACGGTTAGTCCAATGGACGGAGCACCCAATCACTGCGTCGTAGAGGGCACGCTCAACTACGACCTGAAGCTGCGCATGGTGCCGCAGCTGCTCATCCAGCGGGGCACGCTCTCCGTCTGGCGCCAGCTACGCACGCAAATGCTCGCACTGGCCGAGCGCGTGCGCGGTTGATCCCGCCGCGCACGCCGTGACCTTTCGGCGCCGCGGGCGACGGCCGTCTGACCCCGTGACCTCGCCGCGCCGCGCGGCCCCTGCGAAGTGGACACCTAGTGCGTAGCACGCGCTAAGCCTGGGCCGGGTTTGTCGAGCAGCTGGACGATGAGACGCCGCGCCCCTAGTTTGTCGACCTGCAGTCGGTTCAACAACACACCGCGTCGGATCTGCAGCCAGAGATCCGTTGCCATTTAGAGAGCATTGCTTTGAACGCATCACAGATTCATAAAGTAGCATGTGATGTTTTTTAGCACTTTATGGCGCATTGTGAGCGTAATGTGCTTTTTCTAGTGCCACATGGCATTCTAACAGGCACCACAACAGGCACCTCGAATTTGGTGTGTGTGTTTGCAGAGCTGAATGATTGGTTGGTTAGCGATAGCAACTCAAGATCACTAGCCACAACTGGCTTCACACGATCACAATCCGCGTGTGAAAACCTGCAGCCAGTGTGTTGTGCGTAATGTACGTAATGGACCCTTGTCCGGCAGCTGATCGCAACACATGAGAGCAGCGCTGTCTGTGGACGCCATGGGATGCACTGTTCGTGCGTAAAGGTTAAAACAGATGCCATGCCTTCTTCATGACTGACCAATGGCGATGCATGTTGTGGGTAGCTGGGCTGCGTCTCTGTCCAAGGGTCAAAGTGACAGGATTCCAGCATCGCTTACCTTCCGTTGAACGGGGACACAGCGGAAGGAGACCATTGAAGGTTTCTCAACAGTGATGTTACGGCGTCCAGTTGACCTGGCAATTTCTGTTCGGTATCGCCCTCTCTCCTAGTGTGGTGATCGTACTTCGATTTCCCAACATGGTAGGATACATGGCGATCGCCTGCATGTATTGATGTTTTGTAAGATTTTTAAAATAAAGCTGAGAATGGATTCGATGGTGTAAGCTGCTGTCAACCTGTTCGACTTCCCACTGATTGTTCGGATAGCATGGTGGTACCCTAGTATACTATTACCGCACAATACATGCCATCAGTCGCTGACTATGAACGTGGGCCTGAAAGTGGCGCCAGGTGTGTGGTCGGCTGGGGCTAGGCCTGCATTTTTACTTGCGCGTCGGCCCCAAGACTGAGATATTCGGGCTGCTCGTGGTACCCTAAAGCGGCTGCATGCGAGGTTTACTAGACTGATGTGCCGCTTTGGTACGATACGTCTACCGGCAAACAATACTCGATGTTCATCAGCGTCCCCCGACGTGAGGGGCTCGCTGTGGGACGTAAATTACGGAACAGCTGACGAAATGTGTAGAGGCTGGCGCTTGCTGAGAGTTTCAGGGAAGACAGGTGGGGTGAAAGGGGCGTGGCAAATCGCGTTACGCACTTTATGGGTGATCCTTGGTACATTAGGCGGAAATCCACGCAGCACGGTGACTTAGTGCACCAGAGCCACCGCCCTATCTAGCCATTGTGACCATCACCAATTACTCTATATTACTTCTCGGAGACGTAGCCAAGATATCGAGCCACTGAGACCAACTGATTGCGTCGTGTGCCCTTGACAATCATTTATAATTGCTGAAACGTCGAACGGTAATTAAGGGGAATTTTATCCTGCTCCACCTAATGAAAATAAGACGGTAGATGACGTGATGACGCCGCCATCCCCGGCGAGGAGCGGCGTTGTTGGCCAGTAAGGTGACCACTGCCGGCGGCCCGGCGCCAGCGCCGCGGGCAGGGGCCGGCACCTGCCACCATGTCGTCACCGGACATTGGCTCATCTCGCGAGGCCGCCGGTCAGTGACCAGCTGACCGGGCGGGCTGCAGGGGAAGTTGTTCTCGTGACGCGCATGATGCGTCCCAGCTCCTGGGCCGTGTATCCTGCCACAGGCGAGCGTCCTTTTGCGACCTTGGGGAGTGGAGGATCCACAGCTTCGTGTAGTGCCAAGCTCTGCTCAGGTGGGCGCAAAATGGCGAGTGCATGCATTGTAATGGTTATAGTAAAAGTAAACGTCGCGATGCGGTGTGCGTCATTATACGCGGTCCTCTACAATAGGATAGTCCACAATATTTCATCGATCTCAGCAATTCCCGATTATGTTGTCAGTTGTCGAACAGAAAGCAGCCAATGAACCTTTTTCACGAACACATCACTCCGCGGCCTAAACCGGTAGGCTGGGCCGTGGTAACTATGCAGGCGGGTGCGCAGGCAACTACGCAGGTAACTACCCAGTTTATTGCTACCAATGTCCACATGTACGTTTCTCACAGCTGTTGGTCGAATTTGCCCGAGCCGCGCATCATTACAAATTAATGGATTCCTCTTGTTTAGTGGTCTACCACAACCCACACATTTTTATGAACCAATGAACCTCAGTCTGATAGGGCTTTACCAAAGACGCGAGGCCCAGTTTTAAATGATAGGTTGCATCGAAATGTCAGTGCTAGATGGAGTCATATCTCTTTCAGATGGTTTCCTAGACCATTAGACGGCTGAAAGCAGAATCATAATTTATTACATTGACCTCGGGTCTAGTTTGAAATCAGATCAAGGTTAAAACCAAAGAACTCGTCGAGTAGAAAACGCTTTTTAAGAGTTGGTTTATGACGCTCGTTCCAAAATATGCGATTACAAGGGCGTCAACAAACTGTTTATTCTGACTTCATGAATGTCAGGGTAGGTCACTGAACTAGATTGATTTCGATTAAACTTTTGTTGTGAGAGGCATGCCGCCTTTGATGCTGATTTTAAATTTGAATGTAAAAATAGATGCGACGGACTTGGCCATTTTGATTATTTTAAGGTTACATAGCGTCGGTTGTCTGGCATGACCCCCCCCCCCGCCCAGTTACCTTTTGCTGAGAAGGTATCTAGGTTACATATGGTCACGTGATGTCCCAGGCAATCCACATCTATCTCCAGTTTGACCTTATTTGACCCTCTTCGACCTGAAGATCACGACCCACACACAACAATTTGACGCAAATGGGTTTACATGAAGTACCATCTACACAGCGAACGTAATGTCTCTGGCTCTTAGTTTTTATGTCATGGGATCAGATTGGCCCCATCCCCAACCCCAGCAGAACGCGTCATGTTCAGCCGGGCACCTGGACGCGTTGAATAATTGCGGTTCCTCTTGCTACAAAGAGCAACTACAGCAAAAGTTTCTGGTAACTGCGACTCAAGTCGGGCATGTTCCAACTGTTAAGGTAAGGCTCACCCGCCTGCAGCCTCGCTCCTAGCAGGAAGTTGACGAAAGGAGAACGATAAGCCACTGTCCTGACAATAAAATATGATCCATCTTTTGCATTATGAAGCTTTCCGTGCCCTTGTTGACAGCCGAGTGAGCAGTGTGCGAAATCCAAACCCCAATCCACATTCTGGGGTCTTTAAACTGCAATGTAATCGCTTCCATACTCTGTTGCCCGCGGCTAAGCCAGCAAAAAAGCCACTCTGACACTGTACCGCGTTCAACTGCAAACGGGCAGCACAGGTGCCCAGACTATTTGAAGCCGGAGGCACTCACTCGTCACAGCATAAACGGGCAGAACAGGTGCCCAGACTATTTGAAACCGGAGGCATTCACTTGTCACAGTATAAACGCTCCATGGAAAACCTTCAATGTGTGTGGTGTACACCCTAACGCGCGCCTCATGGTACAAGTCTGAAAGCGGCGGCGCGAAATCATCAGCGCGAGGTGAATACAAAATTCGTCGGTGAGTGGATGACCGGAGCTTCCACCAAACCTGAGCTTCTCTGCTGAATTATCTCGCTCTCCATTCAAATCTATAGGATACCCCAAAGGTGGCAGCCGGCTCCACCCCACTGGTCGTCGACTTTCACCAGTAGCCGAAATCAGCTTGTCAACGCAGCTCAGTTCACGCGATATTGCGTCGTCGCAGCGCTTTCGTTGAATTGCACGCAGTGAACAAGCAGGAGCTCGGGTGACTACATCCAAAGCCCGACAACGCTGCCGTCTGGTCGGCGGCCGCCGGGGCTCGGGTGTCGCCAGGTCAGCAGCGCTCCGCGGCCAGCCGCCGCTGGGTCACGTGTGGTTACCGGTCGAAGGCGCCGCCAGTCGGCCGGAGCGGGGGGAGGGGAGGGCCGCCAGGTGCTGGGCGGCCGGGCGGGGGGTCCTCTCGTGCTGAGCTGGTGCCGGCTGGTCCTCTTTCGGCATGTAGACTGATGAGGCGGCTCCCTCTACAGTCCCGAAGTCCGGCCGACGCCGGTCAGAGGCGCCCATGCCCGGGGGCGCCGGTGGGCCAGCTCACCATGGACAGATGCGCCGTCTGTGACACGACTGGCGCAGGCCGGCCTCACCGCCCCACCATCCGGCTGTCGGCCCGATGGTGACGGTCGTAAAAGCTCGTCGTCCGGCTGCTGGTGAGGAAGGTGAATGCCCGCCACCAGCCGAAGATCGAATCGGACGGGCTTGCCATCGCCTTTGCAGCCGTCACATATTACGGCGCGTCATTCAACCAAGAACGAGGCAACAGCGTCTGGCTCGTGGGATAAACAACTCCTTTCCTCGCTGGCGTGAGCAGAGTGACTTACACGCGGCCGCCGTGGGCGGCTTCAGCTAAATCAGGGGTGGGACTTGGCGACGAGTTGGTCTTCCACCCACGCCGTTCATTCTATCCCTGATTGGGTGTCTTGTATCCGCCGACGGACAACATGACCGGTGTTTGTTGCAGGGACATTTGAGATGTTGTCTGCAGTCCGTGATTGTGCCTGTCTTCAAGTGGATGCCTCTCGGTTAAGAAGCATCTCTTGGGTGGCAGGCTGCCTTTTCGGTACAGGGCCGCTCGGTAAGTACGCCCCTTTTCGGGTACTTACTTGATACCTTAGTTATCAGAAGGGTAGTCATTCAGCAACAAATCAAATCAAACCACGTTTAATACAACGCTTGAAGCTTTCCACGTCTTCGTCTTGTCAAATAAAAATGCGTGCAAAGCAAGGTAGCACCTAAAAACGTGAGTAGATATCCTTTGAGTAGAATTTGCATTCAAGATGTACCCCACATTGCCCTCCGTAACCGAAAATGGGGCTTCCTTTGCCTTCCGGGGTCAAAACACTTTGATAAATGCAGCCTTCAATTTCTCAAGTGAGGAAAGTACACTAGATACAGATTGGAAAGTACGGACATGTTGCTGTAGGGGTCCATTTGCCCCCTTTTCGTCCAAGCTCGGAAGGTCTTTTGGAATGTCACGTCTAGGAGCCTGCCCAAATATATGAGGCCTAAGTTTGCCTAGGCCTTCTGAAAATTCTCCCTTGCCTGAAAGTCCGTGACGACACCGGTGACGACGCTCGAAAACATAGTAATTTTGAATGATGATAATGTTCTGGATGGAAGGGGCGCAAGGCAAGGTACTTAACAGGCATCGCATGGCGAAAAACCTGGCATGTGTCAAGATATAGCACTGCGCCCGGGCTCTTCCAATCTAAATCACGACAGCTCTGAGGCGCAGCCACGAGGTCGCTAACTGGCTGGACCCCACTAGTTCAGTGGAGGGGCGACTTTACCCCGCTACTCCCCCCCCCCCCTCCAACCCATCCGCCCTCCTGGGCGCGCAACTGACCAAGGGGACTTGTGATTCATAAGCCCTATGCAAGCTAGGACTCATGGCTTGGATAGGTGCGTTTTTATCTCGTTCTACATTTGTGGCTTGTTCTACATTTTACTTTCATGTCTTTTAAATCTTAGGCTACCAGACTGTTTGCTTTCAATAAAACCAATACTTATTGCATTTGACTTTGATCCTTCGACTTTCTGCCTTTTTCTTTCATCCTTTCGGCTTTCTACCCTTTTGACCTTTTCATCGAGCTTTGTCCCGTCTGACATTTTGCTGTCTCACTTATTGTCCTGGAGCCCTCCTGAATAGTGGACTGCCTCTAGGGCAAAGAGCTACCTTCTTGAGAAGGTTGCCTCTCAAGTACGAGGTTACTCGTTGGGTACCATGTCATTCTCCTCATCTAATATGTCATCCCTCGGAATTAAGTCCCCCTTGGGTAGTGAGCTACCTCTTAGCTAACAGGCCACCCCTCCTTTTTCAGAACACTAACTGTCGGATAGCGGGTTACCCTCCAGATGTGCAATGCTTGTCGCATAAACTGGGTGGTGAGGTATCTTCCGGGTAGTACCTGAACTACCGGGCCAACTTCGCACAGACCAACTGTGGCATGAACTGGATGGTGAGCTCCTCTCGCGTAGTACCTGAACTACCGGGCCAGCCTGACACAGGCCAACTGTGGTATAAACTGGGTGGTGGGCTACCTCTCGGGTAGTACCTGTACTACCAGGCCAACTTGAAACTGGCCAACCGTAGCATAAACTGGATGGTGAGCTACTTCTCGGGCAGCACCTGAACTACCGGGCCAGCCTGACACAGGCCGACTGTGGTATAAACTGGGAGGTGTTACCCCTCGGGTAGTACCTGAACTACCGGGCCGACTTGAAACAGGCCAACTGTGGTATAAACTGGATGGTGAGCTACTTCCCGGGCAGCACCTGAACTACCGGGCCAGCCTGACACAGGCCGACTGTGGCATAAATTGGGTGGTGAGCTACCTCTCGGGTAGTACCTGAACTACCGGGCCAGACTGACGCAGGCCAATTGTGGTCGGAGTCTAGTCAGACGAGATTCACCAGAAAAGCGTCTCGGCTTGAACCAATCGTGGAATCGCTCTTTTGCAGCGAAGAACAAAGAACACCTCTCAGGCCTAATCCGATCGCAAGCGTACGGGTTCTTCGCAGAGACAGGTACTGTTGCCCTGACAGCCCACTAGCCTACCTGCCGTGTGACAATCATTCGTTTGAGCAGCGCAAGGTAGAAACTTATTGGCTTTGGCACTCACAAGAAGCTTAGGCGGTGAACCAAAACACAGTATAACCACGGGCTTATTACTTTCTCGCGGGTCACAAACCAGGGCCAAGAGCAGGGTACACTGATCTCCGCCCGGGTTGCACATACCCACGGACTGACCCCACGCAAGCGAAGCTCAGGGCAAGGAGTCGTGCATGCGGGCCGTGTATTCGATATCCAGCTCTCGCTCCAAGTGATATGCACTGCAAGTGCCACGAACAAAACAAACAAATCATCGCCTACGCTCTATCACAGCGCTGGTTGGCTCCAGGTCAGGCCGATAGCAGAGACCAGCCCTGGTGGCAAGAGATGCGTTCCCAGCAAGCCGACTGCTCCAATAGGACAGCCAAGTTGCTGAGGGTAAGAGTCCGCGGGGAAAAAACGGTTATGAAACGGAATATTTCGCCTCTGTTGGAGGCCTTAGTTGACAGCCAAGGTTAAGAACACACTAATCTTCGCGGTGATGACCTTACCAAGGACTAAAACGCTCCAGTTCCCCAGCCAGGATGTGATTTTCCAACCGACCAATTTCACATCCGGCGCTGCCGGTCAGTGATTCGTTGTACGTGATGCCACGTGCATTAGGACGCAACGGGGGCAAATCTTTCCTTTGTTAAAAGCATTATACTGACAGCACCTCTAAACACAAACAAATGACATCGTCACATCCAACGCCGGTGCTTTCGTCATGTTCCGTGACTTTCCGATATTTCTGAAGAGCAAAATATTCCCTTTAAGCACAATAATAGCACATGAAAGAAAATACAATGCTTAGATTTCAAGCTAGTCTTCCAGAGAACAACGTGCGAGCCTGAATGACAAGAGTAAGGAAGCATATGAGTGAAACCAGTTCAACGAGAAATCTACAAGAGCAGGTACTGGCGATATCAAGGGACCTCACCGAACCAAGCAGCAAATTAAGTTTGGAATAGATGAAATGGCTTGACATAAAACAGAAGGTCTGAAGCCCCTGACTTTTCAGCGTTACGAGTTATTTTGCCGAGAGTAACCGATCTTCGAGATGCGAGGAGGTATTGGTTGAGCGAAGATTTTAAGCGATCCTTAAGTTCACTTTTGACAGTGAGCACTGTCCTGAAACGTAGAAAAGTCTCGTTATCTATCCCACTGATTGATTAATTTTTGTTTAACCTGTACCTCATCGCGCACTGCAGGTCCGTTACTTTCAGCCCAGGAACTCATAATGCTAATGCAACGAAGCTCACCTCACTCTGCCCACCTTCCACATGGAAGTCAATCTGTTCCCGACATACTCAACTGCGAAAAGCAGCAAACCACACTACTCGCATCACTACAGCTGTCATCGCAATAAATCAGCGACGTATAACGTTTACAACAACAAAAACAACACAAAACCACTAACGAACAACACTATTCGTGCAACCGAACTGGTGACACTGGTAATACTCCTATACTTCTAGCAATACTTCGCGGTAGGGACAAACAGCAGTCTCTCAGTACCGGCCCAGCCGCAAACAAGATGCTCAGATAGTCCGGTTCGCCATAACCCATCCAGCGCAGCCATCCACGAACGCCGAGTCATGGTCTCAAGCAGCCCGTATCGAATCCGGCCAGCCGGCGGCGCCGCTGCGGTGTCCTGGCATCCGCCGGGGTCAGCCAGGGGTCAGCCGACTTCACGCCGGCGAGACCACGGGCGAGCGCGTGCCGGCGCCAGCCGACCTCTGACCGGGTGGGTCAGCAGCGACACGCGACGCCCACCGGCGGGGTCAGCCGGAGTGACCTGCGCCGAGTGGGACGCGCTGACCGACTGGCCGAGTCCATCCTCTGGGCGGTGACCTCGGCCGGTCGAATGGCGCGGCGGGGGGCGCCGCAGTCTTTCATCCGGTGTGCTCCTGGGCGGTGACCCCGGCCGGTCGGACGGCGCAGCAGGCGAGCCGCGGTCTCTCATCAGCCGACGGCAGGGCGGGGGCTGCCAGTCCCCACCTAGATCCGCCAGAGACAACTCTCGCTCACGCACAGCCGGGCCGGCATGCGCAGCCCAGACAGGCCTCTGTCCACCCACGAGCTAACTTGTACTCTCTCTCCTAACGCTGGCCACTGTCGCTGCCCCGCTGCGACTCCAACCCGCAGTGACCCCTGCCGAGTCTCGAGGACCTCAGTCAGCATCCAGAGCGGTCCGATGGCGCCGGCCGCTCACGGGGCGACCGGCTCCGGCGCGTCCACCAGCTGACCGTTCCGCTGGTGCACGAACTGAAATTGCACGCGCAGCTCACCGATCTGCGACTGCGGCAGCACGCCCGGCACCCACTCGATGACGAACGGCGTCGGCTCCTGCTGCTGCGCCGAGATGCAGCCTGCCAATCACAGGACGACAGGGCGTCGGCGGTCAGGAGAGGACCGAGCAAGCGAGATCTGCAGTCTGCACCAACGGCGCCGGGGGGCTGGGCATCATGCCAGGCGAGAGGTGCACTGAGCTGGGCTTATACTTAATAGCTGGGTTTGCAAGTATGCCGGTAAGAGATTTTGAGCGTGTGCATAGCTCTACGGCGGCCGGTAAATAAACACTTCAAGGGCACAAACCGGGCGTGCCGTCGACACTACAATCAAACTATTCCTCAACAATCTGCGTAAAATCTATACAGAAAATTATTCGCCTGGGTACCAAAACACGCGAACCCTTCTCAAAATGTTTCTGCACAGAGCTTACCAAAGTAGTTCAGTTTCCTTTATACGCTAGCACACTCCACCACCTTTCTGGTCGTCTCATCAGTGTGGCGTGCCACGGTAAATGTTAGCCCTACAACCATCAGGTAGCTGTAGCTTGCCACCATTACCGCCAGCCCATCGAGACCGACCAGTGCCACCAGCGGCGGCACACAACACCCGGCGGCCGGCCGCTGCGGCGGCCCTGGGCGGTACTGACCGACCCTGAGGATGGTTTTGTACTGTTGCGGCTTGATGAGCGGACCGTGCGACAGCGGCTGGGGCGCCGTCTCCGCCTCGGACGGCACGTGCTCGCTGTAGCGGCCCGTGTCCGCGCAGAACCGGAAGCTGCGCGTGATGTTCAGCATGATCTGGGGCAGACGCGGACAGTCGCTCAGCTTCGGCGCCCGGTCGGCAGGACAGCGGCGAAGCAAGGGTGCAACGGACACTTCTGGTTTCCCAATGTATCGTCATTGGTTACAGCGAGGTCACGGTAAGCGCATCAGGACTCCCGCGATCCACACCTGTCCTTCAGTGCGTTTGTGAATAAATTGGCCCAGTTTTACGCTCCGCCGACAAAGTCATCATAGCATATTGATGAGCACGCCCTACACCCTTACATCACCACTTCGCCTCTGTAGCATCGACAGAGGCTATCCAAGTCCGTGCAGTGTTTAGCGAAATGACAGAGCGAGCTGGCTGTGTGCTGCCACGTACGGTGGGCCCGTCGAAGATGGACTTGACGTGCAGGATGTTGGTAATCTGCCACGTGTACTTGGTGAAGGTGCCCAGCGGAGGTGTGTCGGTGCGCGCAAACGACGTCACTTGGTTGGGTAAGCGTCGCTTCTTCACGCCGAACGCTATCCGCTCCTTCAGCGCGGCGAAGAACGTCTGAGAAGGGCGGTAAGAAGGATTGTCAGCGCACCCAGAGCAGTTGGAGAGGGGGGGGGGGGGGGGGGCATATAGAAGTGGTGCGATATCTGCTCACTGTGTGAACAAGTGGAGATTAGGCACAACACTGTTTTTGCATCGACCCGTAGCACATAAAAAAAATTAAGGAACCATATCCAATACTGTGCACGATACTCCCAGTAGACCATTTCTTACAGCTCAGCAACGTGCCTGGCAGTCACCAGTCTGTTCACTCGCCTGTCCCAGAAGTGCGGGGGGGGGGGGGGGGGGAGCGCCGCGCCAGCGCGCCGCAGTGCAGGCAAGTCACGGCGGCGCCGCGTCACACACCACCGAACCCACCCTGTCACCAGGCGGCGCTGACGAGGCCGAGCCGGCGCCTCAGCATACCGCCTCGCGTCCGCCCCGAACGCCACTCGTTGTCGGCGCGCGCGCGCGCACCGCGACACTCACATGCGGCACGTGGAAGACGAGTGGATCGGGTCGGCCGTCGCACTGAAAGTGCATGGTCTGGTTGATGCGCTCCGTCACGCCGCCCAGCCAGTCGTAGAAGCCCGTGGTGAGGGAGGACTCGCTCTCGGACGCTGCCGGGGGAGGGGCGCGCGTCAGGCGGCGCCACCAGCCACCGCTACTGTCTCCGCACGGTGGCGCCGGGGCCAGCTCACGCGCCAGGCCACACCCAACACGGTACGGCTCCGTCAAGGAGTCACCTTCAGTCTGTTTGAATGGTCTCGCCCCACGTCGGCCGCATCCAATCTACATCCACGCCTCTGATCTGGTGCGGCCTACCACGCCTAAGCATCTACTGAGGTGGGCCAGTTTGGAGGCGCTGCCTGCTTTCGCTGGATTATTGGGCGTTTGGCTTGCAATGATTACCGAACCACAATCCGGCCGTTTTCCTCAGGCTAACGCGGTTCCTTCGTCAAGCGTTCCTTTGGCAAATGTAGCCTGTCTCATCCAGCAACTGTGGGACGCCAATGTCGACGACGTCCAGGTGTTTGTCTTAACGGATAACAATTTCGCCTTTACCAGAGCTGACCATCTCTCCTTTCATACAAGCTCAGTCACTCTCATCACATGTCTGGGCCGTCCTCGGTGGGTCGCGTCTTTCTTCTGTGCAAAAGTGTGGTGCCGTATTCAACGAGAAGACGCCTGGCCAGGCGTTTGTCAGGCCGAGGGTGTCAGGGAACAGCTGCCGATCGGTTCGGTTTCACTCATTTTGCTACTTTTCACCATGGTGAGTTGGAAATCGTTATTGACAGCAATTGAACCCCAATACACCAGAAGGTGTAACTGATTATACAACGTTACCGCGGGCAGCAGCTTTATTCTGTACTGTGCTTTGGTTCCTCACGAACGGGGGCGATTTAACGGCTTGTCCCCGTTTCGTACGAACTTCGTTTTACGGCACCAGTTTTACACGGTTTAACGCTACCGTTGTGCAGGCCACAGTGCGTGCGTCCTGCCCGTTTGCGGGTACGTACTGAGCCGGGGCAGCTTGGCGGGTCGCCGGCTGTGCTGCTGCAGGGTGAGCAGGGCCGTGCTCGCCTGCAGTTCGCCCGTCGGCCGGCCGTGCAGCTGCAGCGTCAGGCCGCCCTCGTCGCCCGTCTCCACCCGCAGCGGCTCGTCGCTGTACTCCAGACCGTGCAGGCCGGCCGCCTGCGTCAGCGGCGCATAGCTGTCAGTGCCGGCGCCGGCCGCGCAGCCGGCCCTCGCGTGACGCGGCGTCCGGTTTAAGGGTGCACTTCACGGCATGGAACGTCGGAGATCTCCTCCACCGAGACGTCACGGGACGAACGAGCCATACAACACCGGGAGGGAACCATGGGTGGGGGGGGGGGGGGGGAGGGGGGAAGAGAACCATCATGACGTTGAGGGACATCTGGGAAGACGGAATAATCAGGGTGCCAAGATATAAAAAAGGTAACAGAACTGTAGGAACATCAGGTTGTCTGGTAAGGACAGCTACAAGAACACCACACGGTCCAGAACACAACATCGGCGCACCATTTGGACAACATCAGGACGCCACGTAGTTAATATCGGTAAAAGTTAGCACACTAGAAAAGCTAGCACACTAGATCCAGAGGCTTCTAAAACCGCCGACTTAAAGGTACTGTACCTGCTGACTTAGTCTGGCAGGAAGGTTTTTAAAAAATCCGAAATAGACCTACTCCAGTCGATTTCTAACATCCCAGTCATCCAACTCGATCATTTTATCACAGCCGAGCGAGAAAGACCAGCCGAGCGACGGTGCACCATCTCAGCGGTATGTAGACTGATGAGGCGGCTTCCTCCACAGTCCCGAGGTCTGGCCGACGCCGGTTAGAGGCGCCCCACGCCCGGGGGCGCCGGTGGGCCGGCTCACCATGGACAGAAGCGCCGTCTGAAATGCGGCTGGCGCAGGTCGATCTGGCCGCTCCGACATTAGGCCATCGGCCCGATGGTAACGGTCGTAAAAGGTCATCACCCGGCTGGTGGTGAGGAAAGGCTTGCCGCGCCGCTGAATGCCCGCCACCAGCCGAAGATCGAATCGAACAGGCTTACCGTCGCCTCCGCGGCGCGCCATCTCCGCGTGCGCCACTCACCTGCAGTATGGCTGACTCCTCGAGCACCTCGACCTCGACCTCGCACATGTCGCCGGCGGCCGACACGGCGCTCACGTCCAACACGGGCAGCGAGTCGGTCGCCTCGGTCGCATCCACCAGATCGCTGAGCAGCGGCACCGAGGAGTCTGCGGAGGGGGGGGGGAGAGGGTGACACTCGGCACCGCACGGCCCAACCGTAACGGGCCGGTCGGGAGGGAGCGAGGCCACTGAGGGGTCTGCCGACGCGAGCAGGGATGACACTCAGCACCGCACGGGCCGGTCTGGAGGGAGCGCGGCCACCGAGACGGCTCACGGACGGACGCCATGGACAAAAGTCGGACGGACAAAAGATACAACACCTTACAGGTTGGCAGGAGAGTGACTACCGACGGCGCGTCAGCCACGACAGCCAGGCTGCCTAGATTGTCAGGTGCGCCGGCAGACCAGTGAGGGAGAGACAGCCAGGCTGCCCAGACTGTGTGGTCCGCCGGCAGACCAGTGGGGGAGAAACAGCCACGCTGCCTAGACTGCCCGGTCCGCCGGCAGACCAGTGAGGGAGACGGCTAGGCTGCCTAGACTGCCCGGTCCGCCGGCAGACCAGTGAGGGAGAGACAGCCACGCTGCCTAGACTGCCCGGTCCGCCGGCAGACCAGTGAGGGAGAGACAGCCACGCTGCCTAGACTGCCCGGTCCGCCGGCAGACCAGTGAGGGAGACGGCTAGGCTGCCTAGACTGCCCGGTCCGCCGGCAGACCAGTGAGGGAGAGACAGCCAGGCTGCCTAGACTGTCCGGTCCGCCGGCAGACCAGTGAGGGAGACGGCTAGGCTGCCTAGACTGTCCGGTCCGCCGGCAGACCAGTCCGGGGGAGACAGCCAGGCTGCCCAGACTGTGTGGTCCGCTGGCAGACCAGTGAGGGAGAGACTGCCAGGCTGCCCAGACTGTCTGGTCCACCGGCAGACTAGTGAGACAATTCCACTCGGGAGCGGCTAAATCGGAATTCAAGACTACCACTGCAAAGCTGGCACCGTTTTGCTACGACCAGGCGATCGTCAACGTCTAACATCTAGCAT